ACGCTCCGCCTGTATCTTTTCTTGCCCACCCATGAACGGTCGCAGCACCTCTGGTATTGTGACCGTGCTGTCCTGTTCGTTCCAGTGGTTCTCCAGAATGGCTGCAAGGACTCTGGGCACAGCAAGTGCTGTTCCGTTGAGCGTGTACGGGAACTCTAGTTTGCCTCCCTTCACGCGCATGCGAGTCTGTAGTCGTCGGCTCTGGTAGTCTGTGCACATGGACGATGATGTCACCTCGCCCCATCCTTCGTCTTTCTCTCGGGATGGGAAGAAGGCTTCGATGTCGATTTTCCGCGTCGCGCTGGCACCGAGGTCGGCTGTGGGCATTTCCAGGATGCGGCAGTGCAGCCCAAGTGCTTCTAGTATCTCCTTTTGGATTGACAGCATCTCATCAAAAAATGACTCTGAGCTCGGTGCCGTTGGAGTAGTAAAGTGGTCTTCTCCCATGTTGTCGGGCGTTGTCCAGGCAAACATCTCGACCTTAGTGAACTCGTGAACACGGTACAAGCCCTTTGTGTCGGCTCCTCTTGCGCCAGCTTCAGCACGGTAGCATCTGCTCACGCCGACCGCCTTGAGCGGCAGCTCCGCTTCTTCCAGGGTCTGATTGGCCTTCATGCCGGCAAGCGGTATCTCTGCAGTCCCGGCGAGAGCGAGTTGCGGCTTTGCCTTGTCCTTCTCTGACTGCTCAATGGCATAGATCTGTTGCTCTCCGTTTTGATCGCGCGGCTGGAATCCACATGCAGATGCAATGTGCGAGTACACCAAGGATGGAGGTGCGACTGCTTTCCATCCTTTCCTCCTAGCAACACCTAGAGCGTACTGTACGAGCGCCTGTTCCAGCATTGCACCGTCTCCGACCAGAAAGTACCAGCCCCAGCCCGAAGTCTGCGCTGAGCCCGAGAAGTCAAGTACCCCCAATTCCTGCCCAATGTCAACGTGCGACCTGCGATTCGGTGATTTCGATGACTCGTTGATGTAGCCGAGTACATCTGCTTCGGTGCCGACGGGCGTGCATGTGCTGCTTAAGTTGGGTAGATCCTGCGCCAGCCCTTCTATCTCTTCTTGGATCTCTGACTCTTGTGCCTCGATAGAGCTCAACTCTGCCTTCAATGCCTTCGCATCGCTGATCAACCCTTCTCTCAAGGCTACTGGCTTGCCGTCGGCGTCCTTGGCGCGCGATGCTGTCCTAGCTAGAGTGGCCCGTATGCGATTGTTGCGCTCTCGTAGGTCGCGACTGCTTTGCTGGAGTGCGAGCCATCGCTCGTGCAGCTCTATGATCCGCCATGACGATTTGCTGTGTGCGGCATAGTTGCGGTCTATGCAGTTCTGCTCATATAGTCCTGGGTTTTGTCGAATGTGTTTGATGTCGATGGTGGGTTTCGGTGCGAACGCGGGTCGTGTGTATGCTCGGCGTGGTAGTGAACTTGTCCGGCATGACGTTAAGTTGCTGCAGAAGATTTGCCTCTGACGTGTTGCATTGGCGCGGAAAGATGGTCGGACAGCTTTCATGGTTGTAACATGAGAATTGCAGTCGGATCTCTTGCAGTGTCCCGCTTTCGCGCCTTCCTAACTTTTGAGCATCCTTGATCCCTGCACGCTGCCGTCGCGTAAGTCGCGTTACGAAACCTCCCCGCATTCTCTCACTCCGCCTCACACCAGTGTACTATTCGCAGGATGTGTCTGTTGAGGATCAGCCAGACGAGTAGAATGGTAACTCTGTGCGGTAATTCAACAACTCCTGAGGGCAGAATGTTTATTCGCCTGTCCCCTCACCTTGGCCCGCTCACGACCACGGTACCACGGTGACCCTCTAAAGCCCCAGTGAGACACTCGCAAGTACTCGTAATACATCCTCGTGTTGGGTCAGGGCTTCAAATAAGAGTGTAAAAGACTGTCTGACAGACCTGTGTAAATCATGAGTTCTCTTGGCCTCTCTCTCCTACAACTTACTCACCATGACTTCCAATCCTGGCAATCGCCCAATTGACCCGGCATGCGACCCTCTGGCCGACCCGGAAGACTCCAACATCTGCTTCGAAAATGGCTCTATTGCTGAAACTGAGAGAAGGCGCAGAACAAGTACGAGTCGGGGCCAAGGACAGTCCGCGACTGTACCATTGCCGCGGCAAGACTTCATTCCATATCCATTACAGGGATTGAAGGCACATGCCACGCAAACTCCAAACCTTCAGTACATGCCATTCTACTGTTGCCCCATCTGCAGAGGGAAGCGTGAGGCGCATGCCCACGTGCGTAAACTTTTCCTAGTCGCCGAGCGACTTATGTGGGAAGAAGGACTGGTGTCGATGAGTGAGAAGCATCGCAACGCATACTTCAACAAGCAGGTCAACGACGAACTCGGCGTTCCAAATCATACTGTCAGTTACCAAGACTATTTCCCTGGTGGGAGGCATAGCCAGACCAACAGATACTATCCTTTCAACAACGAGCACGAGATGGGGTTCGCGTTTAACGTTGTACCCACACATGACAACTTGACGGAAGCTGTGTGGTCATTGTGGATTGGTTCACAGTTGGACATGGAAAGAGGGCTGGCCGAAAACAGAGCAGCAGGTACTCTTCTGCCTGGAGGGAACACAGGAGGATGGACAGGACCAACCAACATGGCATCACATGATCATGCGTCTGCCCAGGACTATCTTTCTGGGCTACCTACGCCGCCGGTATCTTCCATGGAAGAGGCTAGACGCATGAATGCCCTCTTCAACTCACCTCTACCGGTCGCACACCAGAGCCAGTTCACCGCCCACCCGGCAAATTTACTCGGTCACAGCAATCGGATCATCAGCTATAGGAGTTTGCAGGACTTCTACTTCCTTCTCGATAGAATCGAGAGAACATCGTACGTTGCAGAGATGTTCCTCGTAGCATACGCTGCGAGGTTGAAGGCGGATAAATGCATCAACTGCTGGCACAATCAGAACGTCAGACTTGATGGGCTTTGAGCGCGGCGTCTTCATCCTTATCACATATTTGCTTTAAGATACCCACTACCACCTCTACGAGGAAAACGCCGAGCAGCTGCACTGCGGTCTACTCTATTACAAAACGAAAGTTAGTCAAGTCAATAAAAACCTCTGAGCTATTTACTTCTCATACTGTTCAACTTCTTCCTTGTATGCGGTGATGCGGCTTCCGAAGAGGGTGAGATTTGTCACGGCATGACGCCTCTAGTGGCGGTGCACTGTACCCATACACATCCAACAGCATCCAACATGACGCGGTCCCGTGGCAGTGATTTAGCATTCCACAAAAATGACCCGGTGGACATGAAATCTGTCGTGTGCCTCTGGCGCAGGGCGATGGGTCCTCGGCTCGCTAATCGCATCTCGGCCTAGAACAAGGGACTGCACCAAGCTTGGTCGTCATCCGCACCTTTTCCCAGGCATCCTCGAGCGGCGTGCATCATTGTGCCGCCGCGGCCTTGGATCTTCGTATCTACCCGAGTATAAAACCGCTCTTGCTCTGCCTTCCTGCCGAACGCCCCTCCGCTGCTTCCCTGCATAAGAAGGGACCATCGCTCCTGCTCGCGTGCAACCCTTACCGCCCTGACATCACTCCTCGCACCTCCACCTCCACCTACCTCCGCGTCTGCTGCACCCCACACTCGACTGCCACGATGCACGACCCGTTCCCTTTCGCGCCGCCGGAGAGCCTGGTCAAATATGTACAGCCCGTCGCCGACTTCCTCAACATGAAGTCGCTGCCGCTGCACTTCCACGAAGTCGCGATAGCCTTCACGTTCTACCAGATTATCTTTAGCTACGGGGCCCCCGCCATCTCGCGCTTCTTCTTCCCGCGGATATACGCCAACTTCACCGCGCGAACCAAGCTCAACTGGGATGTGCACATCGTGTCATTTGTGCAGAGCACGCTGGTCTGCGGAATGGCGCTATGGGTCATGTGGACGGATAAGGAGCTGAATCAGATGGACTCGACGGAGCGCGTGCATGGATACACTGGAGCGTCTGGCTTGATCCAAGCTATGGCAGGAGGCTACTTCCTATGGGACTTGGTCATCACGTTGCAGAATGTTAAGGCATTCGGTACCGGCATGCTGTTCCATGCTATCTGCGCCCTATGCGTATTCTCGCTGGGTTTCGTAAGTAGACCACGGTGCTTCTCGGAGCACATGGGAGCTATTCAGAGTACTGATCGTGTGACAGCGTCCCTTCGTGAACTACTACGCGTGCACCTTTATCCTCTACGAGCTCTCCTCGCCCTTCCTGAACATCCACTGGTTCTGCGATAAGCTCAACATGACCGGCACCACTATACAGTTGGTCAACGGCATAATTCTGCTATGCACCTTCTTCTCCTGCCGCATCGTGTGGGGTTCTTACAACTCCATCCGCGTCTTTACCGACGTCTACCACGCCTACGCGGCCGGCGCATACACACACTCGGACCCAGACGTCGGAAAGCTATCGCAAAACACCACCCTCCACAACGCCGGCTTCAAGCATGACATCCTCCGATTCGCCGAAGGCCAGACCGTCCCTCTCTGGCTCATAACTGCCTACCTCGCCTCCAACATCATCCTCAACGGCCTGAACTGGTTCTGGTTCGGCAAGATGATTGAAACGCTGCGGAAGCGCTTCGACCCGCCCTTCGGCACAAAGACCCAAGGGCCCGAGATTAAGGAAACTACACTGGAGATACCGGATGATGAGAAGGTGCTGGTTGAGGGTATCCACGTCTCTACTCCTGGTGCGGTGGAGCGTGATGCGAAGGATTATATTGAAGTCACTGACCGGGCGGCCGTGTCGCTCGAGAAGAGCAGGGCGGGCACGCATTTGGAGGTTGGGCAGACTGAGGTTAGGAGTCGGAATGCGGGACAGAGAGGGGGTTTGAGAGCTGCGCAGGCGGCGTAAAGGGATGAAGATCAGGAATGAGATGGGTGGGTCTGGGGTGTAAGTAACATGTAAGGCATCATCTACCAAATCTACATATCACCAGGTTCTTTTACAGCCTGGAAATCAGCTACTATCAGAGCTGTCAGCCTCTTCTTCACTTGCCTCCCCAAGATCTGTCCACCCCTCCTCTCGCATAGCCTCTCTAATCTTCTTCAGCAGCATACGGAAGGCTCTAATCTTCCTACCCTTCTCCACACCCAGAGCAATGGATATATCATGCACACGATGGAAACGTTCGTCCGCAAGCCTCAACAGCTCCTTCGCTTGCGCAACTAATCTCCTTGCTGCGACGACTTCAGCATCGGCGTTCACATTGGCGGCGTGGTGATCAGGGTCGGGCAATCCCAACTCTTGCATCATGGTTTCGATGTTACGGATGAGAACGGCGTTGTCTGTGTAAGGATTAGGTTGGATTAGTAGCGTCTTTTGGCTGCATTGGAATACGTAGGTAGCATGGCGATGGTTACTTACATTCGTGTCTATCTTTATGCGATAGCTGTGGGAGTTTGGATAGAAACCATGATGCTGTTGAGGAGGGGCTGGTTAGCTGGTACTTTCTTATGGCTAGGGTAGCGGTTCTGCAAGAGGGGGGAGGGAAGGTTGCCTACTATTGATCTCGATGGTTGCCGGGAGTGGAGCTTCTTCGTCGTCGGACATTTTGGTTTCGGTTTATAGAGAGGGTCTTGGGATGGAGATACGGGAAGGTGTTTGGCGGGTCAAGGTGCAATAGCGGATTGGTAGAAGGGAGACAGATCTGGGAAACTGCTGATAAGAGAGCTTAGTATCATGATTGTATAGACTGCGTGCGGCTTGCTATATAACCCGTCGATTGGTGACATGACTGGTAGATCGACAAACCGCAATCCCGCTAGATCCTCCCACTCCAAGATGTTTTCCACAACGCTTGGTCGACCTTGCTTAGCAAATCCACCAAGCCTTCGTGCTTAGTATCATGTACTACCTTCTCGAGCTTGCTACGTTGCCTCTCTTCCTCTAGTTTCTCCTTCGCACGCTTTAGCTGCTCTTCCAGATCTTCGACACGATCCTTTCCCCGTTTTATGTCATCGTCGGATTTGTCAGTGAGTGATTGTCTCTCGACAATGCTGTCTTGGATGTAGGAGCGCAGGGTGCGTTTATCTGGATGCGTGTCAGAAGATTCGAGCTCCACTGGTGGCTATGATGTGGACCGCATCAGATGGTAAAGTAAAGCGAGCAATAGCTAGGTGGGGGTAGGTAGAAGAATGAACAGGGTGAGGAAGAATAGGGGAGCTAGGCACGTACAGGCATTTCGATCTTTGAGAGTCATTTTGGGGAGATTGGAAGTGAACCATAAGCCTGTTGTTTTTTGTTCGTTAGTCTGCTGTTTTGTTCTCGGAAAAGGACGTTGCGGTAGCACTCACTGGATATGTTTGGACGAACGGGCGGGTTTAGGGGCTCTGCATCTGTAATCATGGTTGGCGCTTTTCGCAAGTCGTTGGTGCTTTTCGGATGCCGCATTTTAGATGCAGAGGTCAGATGTGAGTTCATGACTGAGGGAGAGCTGACTGGCAGAAGAGTGATAGAGGTTTTGAGCTAAAGAGTATCGCACTGTTGGAATATATGTCATGGTACTGCTTGCTGTTTACTACGTCGGTCAAACAAGACAAAGGGTATGCAAACTACAAACCTAGCCAACCCTCTCCATCTAGGATCGATGAGCATCGGCCTCATTCGGCACATGATTCCGCACAATTTCCTCGACCGCACCGGTCAACTTCTGTAAGCCGTCATGCATGGCAGCATCCACCAACGACTCAAACATTCTCTTTTTCTTCTTAAACTCGAGCTTCTCCACCTCGTGCTTTCGTTCTTCGCCTTCTTCCATAGCCTCGACTTCTGACTGAGCGAGTTCTATGACTAATTCGTCGCGTTCACGATGTTCAGCTACACGTCTCACGCTCTTGTCAATGGACTTCTTCAGGACGCTCAGGCCTTTACAAGTGTCAAAATTTACACGTCAGTGACGGTTGCAGAGAAGGAGCCCGTCTGGGGTGTGGGGTGTACGTACATTCTTCTTTAGGACGTCGTGATTGGGTTTGGAGGAAATCTAGGTATTCCGTCACGGCTTCATGGTATCGAGTTAGCAAGTCGTTGACTTTTCCAAGAAGGGACTTTGGGGGCTTCGTTACTAGAGAACTTATCCCCTTGGGACATGTAGATTTGCGGGCCTGGTGGCTGTTCTTGTTCGGACATGCTGGTCGATTCGTTTGGAGATACTTGAGCGATGCGTTTGGGATGCTGTCTTTTAGGTGTGTATTAGATCGAGTGGAGATGTTGGTAAGTACATGACACTGATGTATGTGGCCGCATATATACTTGCGATACTTATTTGTTAGTACTGGAGGTGCTTGGTAAACAAACACAAACTCGACCTCGTGATGGAACCAATATGCTTTCTGGCTTGCTACTCGTTACATCGATCTACCAAAACGAGGAGCACGCAAGCCACGCACCCATTGTGCTCATGTGTTTTCTCAATCTAAATTCCCCCACCCTCATCCGTGAGCTCCTCAATCCTCCTCACCAACTCCACCAACCCCTCATGCTTAGCATCACTGACAGCCTTCTCAATTAGCAGCTTCCACCTCGTCATTGCCTCATACTCCCTCGCCGCATCGACCTCGTGTTCCGGGTGTTTACCTTCAAGTTTCTGAAGTTTCTGTAGTACGAATTCGGAGATTGTGGTGTTGCGTGCTTGTTGCAATGCATTCTCTGCGGCGCTTTCTTTGACGTGCAAGCGGAGGATACGGAGGTCTGTGAACAGGTTGAGATGGGTCTATGGGATGGGCGATTGGGGTATGTCCCGATATAGAGGTAGGTTGAGGGGTAGAGAGGGAGAGAATGAGTGAGATGGGAGGGTTACTTACAATCTTCTGTGTCTTCACGGGACTTCTTCTTGAGCTTGTCTAGAAGCCATTGGCCTGCTTATTTAGAAGGCTGGTACATTTGTCAAGGGGAATAGCTTTGGGTTCGAACTTACTAGAGATGGCTGGTTCTTCTTTAGCTTGCGCATTTGCTGGTTGTGCACTTGGTTGCGGTTGTTCTGACATCTTGTAGTCGTGTGACTGAGAAGGAATGTGGACGATGTGAGAGGGGAGGTATCGGAAGATATAGCAATACATACATACCTTCATGCCTCTGCTTGTTAGTAATCAAGGCGGTTGGTAGACAAATAAAAACTTGATAGATCTATTGCAATCATGTTCTGTACACAGTCTTCCCAGCTACATAGGTATCTTCCGTAAATGATTTATACCGTACAAACCCAATAGAGCCGCCTGGGTAAGACTTCTCATCCCCAATATCACATTCAAAACACTCCGGGTATATCCTCGCTCGCTCAAGTAACTCCATGTAAACACTAGACCAGTCTTGTAGCCGCCTCGTACATCCATCACTTCACTCAACTCGACATAGCGCCAAGCTTCTTCGGAGTGCCCTTCGAAGGCCTCCTCTTCCCCTTCCCCTTTCCTTTCGCACCCTTGCCCTTGATAAGCTTAGCCTCAATGACTTCAGCCCGCTCATAGATGAGGGTGATGGCGTTTAAGACATCGCCTTTCTGCAAAGCGGGATCCTTGTCGTCGCCTTGGTCTTCTTCAGTCCGAAGGGCGACCGCTTCTTCCAGGACTTCTAAGGCGAGACGAGATTGACCCTGGGTGAAGCCCGCGAGGATACTTAGGACAGCCAGTGTGGAGGAGTCGCATGACTTCGAACTGGACTTGGCGGCGGCGGGCTTCATCGACGTAGGAAGGAAGTGTTCGACGGCGACACCCCAGCACTTCTCGATGTGGTCCTCGTCTTCGGCAACACGTGCAGGAGTTGAAGTCGTAGAATCCAGTGATTCGATGTCGACCTCAACAGGCTTGTATTCGCGCGTGATACGCATCCTGTTGCGAGTTGTGGGCTTCTGCTTGTTCAGACTGGCGATGTGAAGGCACTTGTCGAGGTCGCATAGCTCCTAAGTTTCAGTCAGTGACGTGTCTTTGATATGGAAAAATAACAATGTATACTTACTACCCACTCCAGGCCGTAGCACTCGGCGTTCATGTCAACATCGTCGCCCTCTTCACCGTCGTACAGTACCCATTCAGATGGCGAGTCAGGTAACATGACCTCTTTCGCACTAGCTGCTACCAGCACTCGCTGGTCTTCTTGGAGAGTACTCGGTTCCGTGATGCGCTTGGCCTCTGTGGTATATATCGCGGCATACTTGATGTCGAGGGCAAGTCGTACACTTGGTAGAACTTGCTCGAGAGTCTGGAACGGTGTGACGAAGAAGTCCTCGACGGTATTCTTGGTGGAAGGGCAGTGTAGCTGGACGTTGACCATGGTCGCGAAATCGTAGAGGGTATTGAATAAGATCACTATTCTTGTCAAAGAGGGAGTGTGGATCAAGAGATCAAAATCGATGAGGATATATAGCCCAGAGGTCAGTGCTCTCTCTAGGCAGGCGCAGTGAGTTTGCTTTGCTCAATGAAGGACAGAAACTGTCGCTTACGCTCGGCTGACCCTTTTCAGGAGCCAGTGATGACTCACTTGACTCTCCTGGAAGCAGACTTGGGTCACATTGTGCTCACTCCAGTCGCAAGATATGGATTTGATAGCCTTATTGAGCAAGATACATGCGGGGGAGTTCGCATATATGGAGGTAAACGATATCAGATTGAGATGTTTACTGGCTATTAACGCGTCACTGCGACTTATACTCCATCTACTGTTTGCTTTCAGGCACTATCGCAACCGCAGGTGACGACATCACGTACCTTAACAAACGTCCAGCTCACACACCTCCATTACACGTGATTGAGAGTCTCAATCTCCAGACCGTCCTTGAACTCTGCCTCAAGCATCCCATCGCCACCTGCCGTGGTCGGGCGACAAACGTATCCTGCGATACTCACGCTCCATCGCTCATACTCCTCCGCAAGGACCCAGGTGACTTCTCGCAACGGCTGTCTGCTGACTTCCTTGCCAGCCTCATCCTTGATGATCCAGTAAATCCAAAGACTGTTGCCGAGCGCATCGCTCTCCCTTCTCGCCTCAATGGTGGCGCCGGGCATAGTACCGTTCTTGAACTCAGGCATGGGTGTAAGCGACCAGTCAGCCCACGCATCACAGCCCACGGTCGCCACATATGGCTTTCCGTAGTAGAACTCGATACCAGTCTTGATCCATTTGGTTTGGTTGTCTGGAACACCTGGCTTGGTGACATGCAGCAAGAGGCCGGCTTGGTCGTATTGACGGAGTTGGTCGGACGGTGGAAGCTCGAACGACAGCTGCGCTCGCTGGAAATTCTTCAGAGTGTAGGTTGGGAGCTGCTCTGGGTAGGTCGATGCATTGAAGGCGTTGTGCATGGGAGGCTTGCGCCAGATGTCAGTGTTTGGTGGAGCCGAGAGGCTGAAAGGCTTGATGGTTGTGGTTGTCGTGTTGGACATAGTGACTGCGGCTGTGGCTGTAGCTGCAAGAAAAGAGAGAATGGAGAACTTCATCTTGATGATGCATGTTAATCTATGGAATCTTGATTGCATTTATACCTTGGCACAGTGATGCAAGACAGCTCTACGGGCGTGACGACGGCGATTACTGCTAAACTATGGTAACGCATGCGATTGGCTGGAAGTCGGAAGTACGGTAGAACGTCGGTTTGATACAGCTTGATAATTGTGATGGCGGTGGAGGTCCCCATGCTCAAGAGCCCACTCAGGATACCAAAGGAGATTACCCCGAAGCCTTTTCATCCTGGGATGTCGGCATCTTGTGATGCAGACGGGGAAAGCGGGGTACTGTTCCGGGCGAGAACCTGCGAGGTTCGACTTCCGATGGGTAGCTGTGGTGGTTCGTCTTACACATCAAGCCATACTACGGCAGATCATGCAAGACGTTGTCTAGCGGGTACCGATGTTTACCCGACAAGTGGGAACTGACAGAGGAAGGTGCAGTGCTAGGCGCTTCCCTGATTGAGCGGGGAAATGCGAGATCTGCTTGGCATGAGCATCGAGACTTCAAATACGAAATACGAGACGCGATCGGGCTGCAGCAGTCGGACACGTGCCCAGCATGGCTAATCCCATATGAAAGTGTCGTGAATCTTACTCCGACGTGCAATCTGGGTTGTGCAGACTCAAAAGCGCCGACAAGTGAAGCAACTACACCGAGCAAATCATCACAGCAGCGGGTATACGTTGTGGGCCATCGGATGTTGTACAATCACATTCATTCGCAGGTATATACAATCCAAATGCTCTAAACCTTCTATTTCTTTTGCTCTCCCTCTTTGGGAGGCTCTGGCTTTGGCGTTGGGAGCTTGAACTGCGTGCATGTTAGAGGTTGAGTCGAGAACGTGGTATGAAGGATAGCTTACGTTCTCTGGCTTGAGGTCATCACCAGGACCGACCTGCTCCCATGCTGATGAGCCACCACGGAAGTTCCTGAAAGCCTGTGTCATCTCCAGGGGTTCTACGACAATCCTCTTCTTCTCCTCGTCGTATCGGATCTCAGTGTATCCAGTCATGGGGAAGTCCTTTCGCAGTGGGTGGCCGTCGAAACCATAGTCGGTCATGATTCGCCTCAGATCCGGGTGTCCAACGAAGAAGACACCAAATAGATCGTAGACCTCACGTTCGTACCAGTTGGCACCGTCGTAGAGATCGCACAGACTGGGTACTGGAGTGGCCTCATCCGCGTACGTCTTGACCCTCAGGCGCGAGTTGTGACGGATGCTGAGCATGTTGTAGACAACCTCGAAACGCTGGTCCTTGGTGGGGTAGTCGACGGCGGTGATATCTGAGATTTGTGTGTACTCTGCGGCGGTGTGGTACTTGAGGAAGGTAAAGGTGGGGATGATGCCGGCGGGCGGGACGTAGATGGTCAACTCATCCTTCCAGACGGAGAACCTTGGGTAGGGTCAGACGGCAGTTACTCCCAGGTGTGAATTGACATACTGCTGGACGTATTTGGGCAGACATGACATGATGTACTGGCCATATTTGTGCAGAGCCTCGCCCTTCTCTTTGTAGTGGTCGGCCGGGTTCACGATGGCGCGCTTGAGCGTGACGGTCTCGTCGCGGGGGGCAAACTGCGATCACATTAGAAACCACGTCTTCACCATATCATGTGACATGCGCACCCTCATGTTTGGCGTTTCCGATTCGGGACCCGCGACTTCCTTTGCCCGGAGAGCCGTGGAGGCAAAGGTGCGAACTGCATGGCGGGAGGAGCCCGAGGCGCGGACGGCGGCGCCCAATGGCCGGCCTACAGCTAGCCGCATGGCCATTGTGTGCGGTGAGAGAGTGGTGAGGCTACGCGATGTAGCAGGTGAGGGCGACTGCGGGTGGTGATGTCGTCGACGTCGTCGAGTTCGCAGCTCCCACCCGCAAATGCGCGCTTATGTAAGTCGCTAGCGTTAAGCGGAACCTGGTGTGCCATCGCGCAGGTGCAGCCTCTTAACCCCCATCACCTCCTGTGGATCCCTCTTCCAGCGACAGCGACACTCCGGCCGGCGTTTATTTGTACTTCCGCGGTTTCCTTACTGACCTCTCGTCCCGACCCCCAGGTCTCGTCTCACCCCACGTATCTCTACTTCGAGCGCCACCCGCTCTCAACAACACATCGCAACCACACACACCATGTCTCGACTGCAGCAGGACCAGTTCGTCGACGATGACGAGGAGGAGTGCTGCCCGCTCTGTGTCGAAGAGTTCGACCTCTCGGACAGGAATTTCCGCCCCTGCCCATGCGGCTACCAAGTACGCCTCTGTGCCAAAACTCGGTGAACCATCTCGAGTCCCATGCTGACCCACGTGCCAGATATGTCAGTTCTGCTACAACAACATCAAGACGACCATGAACGGCCTGTGTCCCGCCTGCCGCCGCCCCTACGATGACTCCACGATCGAGTGGAAGACCATCTCCCCCGAAGAGTGGGTCCCCTGCACCTTCCATCTCTAAACACATCTGACACTACCCAGGATGGCACAACACAAGCAGCTCATCGCGCAAAAGGCCAAAAAGAACGCGCAGATACGGCAGAAGGAAGCACAAAAGGCCGAAGCCGACTCTCTCAGCCGCAAGCATCTGTCGGGTCTGCGTGTCGTCCAGAAGAACCTCGTATACGTGACCGGTCTCACGCCGACGATACGCGAAGACGAACTGCTCAAGACTCTTCGTGGAGACGACTATTTCGGCCAGTACGGCAAGATCCTCAAGATTGTCGTCAGCAAAGCCAAGGAGAACGCGCAGCATCAACAGTCGGTGGGTGTTTATGTAACATTTGCTCGCAAGGAAGATGCAGAGAAGTGCATCAATGCTGTCGACGGTTCTCAGAATGGCGAGAGGACATTGAGGTATGTGAACCTCTATCCATGCACACGTGTCATGTAACAAGCTCACGTTTCTTGCAGGGCTCAATTTGGTACTACGAAGTACTGCTCAGCGTACCTCCGCGGCGAGACCTGCAATAACCGCAATTGCATGTTCTTGCACGAACCCGGCGAAGATAACGACAGCTTCACTCGCCAAGATCTCTCCATGATGAACTCAATCCAGACGCAACAACCGTCACAATCGTCTACGTCTCGAGCCGCGCCCCCCGCCCACCAGGGCCCCGCTGTCGCTGCCGCAATCCCGATGCATCGACAGGATAGTACCGATACGTCGAGCTCGATACACGAGGCACCCGGTTTGCCTGCAACCGCTAGCTGGGGAAGTAAGGCGTTGCTGGAACGCCGAGCCAGCCGATCCACGGTCGCTTCGAACAACGCCAGTCCCATGGTCACGAATGCTGTTCCCGCGCAACCACCCAAACCATCGAAGGGATCTGAGCCACCAAAGAAGAAGGGCAAGGACAAAGAAAAAGAAAAAGAGAAGGAGAAAGAGAGGGAAAAGGAGAAGGCTGCACAAGCATCGAAGGCTGCCACCCCGCCGCCTGCTCCGACCCCCGCACCCGCCGCCCGCCCTCCGAAGCCCCGCGACAATGGTATTCACGATTTACTGAAGGTCATCTGCTCGCCAGACTTTAAGTTCGTCTTCTCGAGCGCCGTTCTGTCGGAGGAAGAACTGAAAGCTGTCACCGAGTTCCCTCAACTACTGGATCCCAATGGCGGTGCTAAGCGTCGTGCCATCAAAGAAAAGAAGGAGAAGGAACTGGCATTGCAGCGCGAGGCGGAAGCGGAAGCTGTAGCTGTAGCAAAGGCAGCGTCCCAACAAGCCCCGGCTGCTGAGCGTGAAGACAACGAAGCAACGGCTGGCGGCAGCTTGCAGCTAGGCGGAGAGCCTGAAGACGGTCCCGAGACAAATACCAACCACCTCAATCAACACGCGATTGCACCACCTGGTCAGCAAGGTTTCGGAGGCAGCCTTTTCGGGCAGAACACGCCATTGGCCGAGGACTTCAGTAGCCTGGGATTGAGTAACAGAGGCCTTACACCTCAGCAACAACAGCAGCTGTTGCTCTCCAATTTCAAGTCTGGCACCCAAGCCACGGGCATTCTGAACAACATGCCGAGTGCTCAGCAGCCTCAACAGCACAATGCTTCTGGCCATACCAGGCACACTTCACGCTTCAGCTTCGCCAACGACAGCGCTTCCGCTTCCGCGAATGTGCAGCCTGTCGCGAACCAGAAGTTGATGAGCCAGCAAAACTCGATGATGCCCAAGAACGCCAACCAATTCAACCCGATGTCTCAGCATCAGCAGTTGAGTGGACAGTTCTTCACCAACGTGCAGGGACCCCCTCCAGGACTTAAGCCTACTGGTACACCCCCGGTCAGCGGGACTGGCATGTTCGGTCAAGGCCACGGTTTCGCTACTGGTGGTCTACCTTATGGGGCTGGCGCAACGGCAAGGAACAACAATGATGCCATGTATCAGGACCTGCTCCGCAGCCGTAACATGGACGGCGGTGCCAGGTTAGCTGATGCTGGAAAGCGTGAGTCAATGTTTCCTTCTTTCCTTAATCAACATCCTTCAACTTCCACACCTGCCCCTGCCCCTGGCCTCCTCAGCTTCCCTTATGGACCTTCGCCTGGAGCTTACCAGGAGTCTGGTTCGCAGAAATCCAAGAAAAAGGGCAAGAAGCATAGGCATGCCAACACTTCCTCCTCTGGGGGTGGCGGTCTTGCCGATGTCCAAGACCCGAGTATCTTGCAGGCGAGGCTGCACCAAGGCGGAATGGCCGGGCAGGGCTTGTATGGTCAAGGCCAAGGTGGTTTCTCTTCGCTCTATTCCAACAACAACTACGGCGGCGCTGGACGATGGTAGTCACTTTCATTCTGCACTCGGGTCGGCCTAGCGGCTTGACATTTTGTCTCAGTACTTTACTTCAATGATGGCTGCATGGCGTTTCGGATTTACGGCGAATGCATCGGCACATATTCAGTGCTTCGACACTGGATCGCCTGGCGTTATGATTGGACTGCACGGATTTTGTCAAAGCATATGGCCCCGGCATGTCTTCACGGCACCTATACCTTCTCGTTTCTTTTCATCTTCTTTTATGATTTGGTGGATTGCGCTGTCTGCCGCTGCAAAGGTTGGCTTCTCTCGTCGTCTTCGTCATGGCCATCGCATGTACGTAACTACCCCTCCTGCCGCATCATGTCGGCATGCTTACTTTCTAATAGAGAGATGGCCTGTTCACTGTTTTCTTGCCCACCAAGTGACGAAGATGTTCGAGAGACGACTTTGCAACATGATGTACCTTACGCTTTTGTCAACCCATCCTGACCATCGTCTGGCGGCCGCCGTACTTAGATCATGACCTCGCTTTTGTCAATTTACACTTTGAAGATTCTAGTGCTGACGTAGTATTGCAGATGATGGATCCTTGAGTGTAGAGGAACAGGCATCTATCAACGTCGATGCACTTGTTAACGACAGCGACAATGAGCCAACACGGCCCGCTCCAAGCACTCCACTAAGCGGCCAATTCTTCGAGCATCCTCGCCGATCGACTCCTACTATACCCCCTGGCTTCACAGTACCAGCAATTCCCAAAGCAGTACTTGAAGAGTCACGTTCGCGTGCTGGATCTCGACCAATGTCCCGTACTACATCTTCGACCATTATACCGGCCGTGCCTGTTGTACCTGCCACGCCGCTTCCCAACTCAACTCCTAACAAGAATACCAAGGGCAAGCAGAAAGCTGAGACTACTGGACCTGCAACTCCTGCAGCAGCAACTACCGCGACCACTGTCTCCAAGCCTTCACCTGCGCCTACGACGCCCTCAAGAACAACGACCAGGGAAGCAGTTGTTGTTCCACAGACACCCAAGGAACCCACACCTAGAGAGGCGTCCAAAGCAGTTAAAGAGGATGTTTTGCAGACACCGAAGTCCACACCAGACGCCAAGAAGTCGATGGCGGAAACGATCAGCAAGGACACGCCAAAATCGAAGGGCGCTTCTAAGAAAACTCAAGCTGCAGTTCAGACCACCCCAAAGAGAGAGCCACAGAAAGAGACAGCGCGCACTCCTGCGGCGACTGCGACACCTCCAGCTTCGACCAAGCGACAGCCTCCTGGCAAACTCGATATTCAAGCAGCAACTAAATTGCCGGTTGAAGCTGGCTCTCCAGCTCCAACCTCATCTAAGACAGACTCTCAGGCAAAAAGCAATCGTTCTGTGCCAACGACATCAGCTGGTTCTGTGCCTCCAAGTCCCGCCGCAGCGGTGACTGGATCGCCAATCAAGCGCGCGGGTGCGCCGAGGACTTTGCGTGTCGTCGCAACACCAAAGACAGAAGTGCCACCGCCTGTTTCCGCGGCATCACAACCGTCCTTGCCTCAGATCCCAACGGTCGACAAGCTTCGATCTAGGCAAGCGAGTATCGCTTCCGTCAATATACCAGGCACGCCAAGCGAAATGATATCGGACACTGCTTCAGTTACCTCTACATCATTTTCAAGGGCCAGCTCACCGCCTCCGATCGGCGGTAAGGTCGGGACTGCGCCTGTTAGGAAGAAGACAAAGTCACAAGCCAAGAAGGATAGACAAGAGCGAAAGAAGCAGATAGAAGAAGAAATACTGGAAGACAACAAGTCCGATGTTGAGGTAATGCAAGCTCCCATCATTGGGCGCAAGAAAAAAGCCAAAAAGCCGACAACAAACGCCAAACCTATTGCCGCTGCCTTCAAGAGTCAGCCAGCCTCGCCCAAGCCAGCTACTGTTGAAGAAGAACAACCTGAAGTGCCGACAGTGGCCTCACGGAGAGTCTCGTCAGCGAAGATCTCGGCAACAGCAACGCCTGAACCGGAGCCGGAGCCCGAACAGCCCAAGGAAAAGCGGGATCATTCAGCTCAGTCGATCATGGCTGACTTGCAGCGCACGGGCGAGCTCCTTGCATCGACCCTTGAGTTCTTCAAACCGCTGTCTTCGTCACTTGCCCATGCTACCCGCTCTACTCCGAATGGCAATGTATCTACACCTCCGGACCTGAAGTTGCACTTTTCCCAAGCCGACCTTGAGGCGCTTGCGAAGAAGAAGCCAGTACGTCTGAACAGCCAGGACGCAAAGCCAGACTCCAGGACTCTGATTACACCCAACGGCAAGTTTTTCTGGGGTTTGACTGAGGAGCTTGAGAATAAAGCACTTGAGCTTGAAAAGCATATCGAGGAGCTCAAAGGCCATGCCCGCTTCCACCCTCGTAAGCAAAATGCACACGGTCACAGCATGACTACTTCAGCGCATTCGAATGACGTCCTCCCAGCTATCGCCACTGCTCTCAAGGAGGCAGGTAAGAAGCTGAATACCAACGGCGGACAGCAGATGCCGCGACTGGACAATTCTTCTGGACTTCTCGGTTCGACGAACCTTCCCTTGCCACCGGTACAAGGCCAGGACGCGTCCATGCCCCAGGTCCCTCCCCCACAACAGCAGCAAACACCCGCAGATGCCGGCGCCTATCTGAATCAATACGTTCTCCCGAAGACGGACAACCCACCGCCAAACCAGCCACGTCCCGAGATGGCGGCTGTTGGTGGCGCACCTGGCGCCGGAACAGCGAACATCTCTGTCAACTCGAACCGACTAGCCAAAGCGGCCAAAGCAGTGGTTGAGGGAGGAGCGGTAGGAAGCACAGAAATAGACGGCATGGGATTGATGGCGGCTGACAGGCTTGGTGGCGTGTTTGTGCAGGGTCTCGAAGCGCTCGTGGGTGCTGGACTTGGCTACCAGTCTTCACAAGAGTTCGGCCTTGACGGCAACGGCAACATCACCTTTGGAAATGGCGGTGGAAGCGGACTGGACATGCAGGGGTTAATGAACGCGATTGAGACGACAGCTGGAATGGGTGGATATGGCAACACAAGGCGAGGAAGAGGCAGTGTGCTGACCATGGAAGAGGCGGAGCAAGCGATGCATGCGGCGAGGAGAGAGCACGATGTGTTGGAGAAGAAGCTCAATGCGCTGATCAAGAAGAACAAGAAGCTCGCGACTGGCGTAGGAAAGTAGTGGTGGTATAGGTTGATGGGAATCCCCAATAGGTATAGCATAGGTGATAGGAGGTTTTGACAGACGATATGCTTAGCAGCTATCGAGTAGTCCAGATTGTGATTTTGGTAGCAGAATTGTTAGCATGGTGACATCGTATATGCGCGACAGATCTAGCTTGCTCGTATTCCCTCACGGCTGGCGTGTGAAAAGGGATGAAGTCGACATGCACCTGACGATGCGCCGACGCCCCGATTCGCCAGGGCGCCTCACCGCCAACGCCAACGTGGGCTGGATTTCCAGGGTCCACCAACTCGTTCCTGAAGGCCAGATTCGCAATTGCACTCACTGCACCTTTCTTCTGATCTTGAGACATTCCGACAATCCCTTGAATCCAGCTTGCTTTTTCACATCCAAAAATACGCCAATATGAGTCTGCAGCCGCCTTCCCTCTCCATGAGGCCCAAGTCTCCGTCTGGAGGCTCGACCAAGGCCGTGATTCTGGTAGATACTGCCCACAACACCGACGCTGCCATGTGTACTCACAAGACTAGGTCGGAGGCCCTTCTCGCGGCACACGCTTCAGGCCTCTGTCTATGGAACTGCCCAAGGTACGCGACGACGCGAAATAGACAGCCCCAGGACATCCCCGCTAACGCTGCTCCAGCCGCTCTTCCCCATCGCCGGCCACCCCATAATCGAGCACTGCTTCCGCGCCATCACAAACGTCCCCGAGATCAAGGAGGTCTTCATCGTCGGCTACTACGAGGAGTCCGTCTTCCAGCAATTCATCAACGCCGTCTCGACCAGCTGGCCGCACCTGAGCGTTAAGTACCTCCGCGAATACCAGGCATTGGGCACGGCGGGCGGTCTCTACCACTTCCGCGACGTCATACTGAAGGGCAGGCCTGAGAAGCTATTCGTGCTCAACGCCGATGTCTGCTCCTCGTTCCCGCTGGTGGAGATGCTCAAGCTGTTCGAGGACAAGGATGCGGAAGCCGTAATGCTGGGTACGCGGGTCGCCAACGACGCCGCCTCCAACTTCGGATGCATTGTCTCAGACGCGCACACAAAGCGCGTGCTCCACTACGTCGAGAAGCCCGAATCGCACATCTCCAACCTCATCAACTGCGGCGTCTACCTCTTCGCGACCGAGTGCATCTTCCCCGCCATCCGCAGCGCCATCAAGCGACGGACCGAGCGCCCACGGCTGCTGTCGTACCCCTCCTCCGAGAACCTCGAATCCTCCTTCTACCAAAACGACGACGACGATGACAACAAGGAGAATGCCGTTATCCGGTTGGAGCAGGATGTGCTGTCTGACATCGCCGACAGCAGGCAGTTCTTCGTCCTCGAGACCAAGGACTTCTGGCGCCAGATCAAGACCGCTGGTTCCGCCGTGCCAGCGAATGCTCTGTACCTCCTAAAGGCCTTCCAGGCAGGCTCAGAAGAACTCGCCGCCCCCTCCGCAAACATCCTACCCCCCGTCTACATCCACCCATCCGCGCAGATCGACCCAACCGCCAAGATCGGTCCCAACGTCTCCATCGGCCCCCGCGTCGTCATTGGCGCTGGTGTACGTGTCAAGGAGTCCATTGTCCTCGAAGATTCTGAGATCAAGCACGACGCTTGCGTCTTGTACACCATCATCGGCTGGCACAGCAAGGTTGGTGCTTGGGCGCGTGTTGAGGGCACTCCTACCCCCGTTACCAGCCACACGACCAGCGTCATCAAGAACGGCGTCAAGGTCCAGAGCATCACCATTCTCGGCAAGGAGTGTGCTGTTGCTGATGAAGTCCGTGTGCAAAACTGTGTCTGCTTGCCCTACAAGGAGCTCAAGAGGGTGAGTCAATTAATATCTGTGTTCTCAGCGTGTGCTAACGTGTTGTATAGGACGTCTCGAACGAGGTCATCATGTAAATGACCACGATTGGTAACAGTGTGTTGCTAGTTGGCAGTGCGTGATGGTGCGGTAGAGGTGCATCTATAGAAATTAATCATGATGCGATGCATGATAGAGCGATATACCACTATACTTGAAATGAACCCACGATGACAGTAAGAATGATCTTGCATCTGAGCTTGCATGCGTGAAGACGCGTACCTTTGGACGCTGCTCTCTGCTGTCATGCACCATACGTGGAGGGGAAGATCTTTATCATGAACAAACACCGTGTGCAGTCATCACCTTGGACCAAATCCTTCGTGGTAGCATGGTCTGAACGCACATGTCCCATAGTTGCGTTCCGTCTCGACTTGGACATGTCCTAGAATAGCCGCGTCTAGTCTCGATTAGGCATCGCCATCCGAACATTCGACATCCCGATCTTTCTACTCCAACACACGTTTGTACCGATTCGCCAACCTCATCGAAATTCACACGCAGTGCTCATAGAAAGTCATACTTGACTGCTAACATTATTCCAGGACGATCGATTGTGAGTTACTAGGACCGTTATCGTGTCTGAGTCAGAGGCAATACGATCCATCCATCTATCATTGAGTTGAAAAGGTGCCAGCGAACCAAGCAATAGACGGTCATTTGAAGGAAGGCATAATGTTAGATATGAATACAGCCCCCGGTCCAGCAGGAGACAAACAGTCAAATGGCACCACATCCACATCTCCCACAAACCTCAACCCCACGCCCGACTCCGGCTCCCGCTACGATAAGCCCATCGCCGCCGCCCAGAAAGATGGACTCCCCATAATCGACATATCTCCCTTCATGGACCCCTCCTCCTCGCAAGAATCCCGTTTGACAACCGCCTCCGCCATAAACGCCGCCTGCATAAACTACGGCTTCTTCTACCTAACCGGCCACGGCATCCCCACGACCAAACTCGACGAAATCATCAACTTGGCGCGTGACTTCTTTTCTCTACCGCTCGAAGAAAAGAACAAGATTAAGCGCTTCGACGCCGGCAGCCCAGAAGGAGGCGACGGCGCACGAGGGTACCAGGGGCTGGGCGAAAACGTGACGGGCGGGCTGCAAGACATGCAAGAAGCCATCGACTGGTACCGGGACTGGCCCGCCGACAAGAGAGAACCAGGCGATGGCGGACCAGGCAGCGTCAAGAGCCTCCAAGGAATCAATCTATGGCCCGAGAAACCCGAACAGCTCAGACCCGTGTACGAAGAATACATCTCGCGCGTCAAGAAAGTCGGCGAAGCACTCGTGCACGCCATGGGCGTAGCCCTCGACCTCGGTCCCCCTCAAGAAAGCGCAACAGAATCAACGCAAGACGAAGAAATCTTCCTGCGTAACTGCTCCGACTCCTTCTGGGTCATGCGCATGATCGGCTACCCCCCACTCACAACCCCCATCTCCGGCGACGAAAACATCGACCAATTCTCCTGCGGCGCCCACACAGACTACGGTTGCGTGACCCTTCTTCTCACCGACCCCACTCCCTCTTCCCTGCAAGTCCTGCTCAAAGACGGCGCGACCTGGCTGAACGCGGACCCCCTGCCCGGCGCCTTCGTCGTCAACATCGGCGATATGATTGAGCGGTGGACGAACGGGTTGTGGAAGAGCACGAAACATCGGGTTATTCATAGGGGGGAGAGGTATAGGGTTAGTGTGCCGTTTTTTTATGAGCCGAATTTTGAGGCGTGGGTTGAGCCGTTGGGGAAGTGTGTGGAGAGGACGGGTGGGAAGGGCGGGTATGGGAAGGGGAGGTATGGGGATCATTTGTTGGGGAAGGTTAGTGGGAATTTTTATTATAGTATGAGGACGGATTGGTGAGGGTGTTAGTGGGGCGTGGATTGTGTCAGTGGCTTTGGGATGGGTAGAAGGGTATGTGGTAAGGTATCGAATGTATTTTGTAGTTACTGAGATCTTTAGATGGGCGTTCTGGGTGTACTGAGACACCAGTGACTTATTCGGACATATGGTAACGGTCACAAACACATTGAGCACCTGGGCGAACATTCCTTCCCACGTTGTGTGAGTACAGAGACAGCGCGATTGATGTGATCTCTTGCACTCAGGTAGTCGGCTTATCCGGCCTTTCGAAGTGACGTACCCAGTCTGTGCGGACACTGTTTGCTCATCCCAGTTCTCACAGTCACACCAGCAAACGCACTCTCACCCATAACCTCCAGGCAATTGAAACACCGTATCGTAGTATATATACGCAATAATTTACTAATATCCCAATAGAATCTGATGGGCCCGTAGCGTATGTCCTTCGCATGTCTACCCTGTCGTGCAGGGTGTGATCCGTTCACATACAGGCTTCGGTTGAAGCGATCTATTTTTGCTCCGGGTTCGAAACTGCCTGCGGTCATAAAAATTCGCATATTTCTCTTTTTGTTTCGCTACCTCCCTTCCTTTCACTTGTCACACACACCCCGCACCGCCTCAACAAGTTCAATTAGATCCCTCCAACCATCCAAACAGCGCGCTATGATATCTTTCGCTGTCCTGGACTTGGGGACTGTGGCCTAGATCATCGAATTCGATCAACGTCGCGTTTGGAATCCTCGCCGCCGCTTCTTTACCCAACACCTCGTATTTACCTATCTTGGCTTGTACATCTGGTGGGCTCCAAGCTTTACCGATAGCCGTCGTGTCCTTTGTCCCTATCAATAGAAGAGTCTTAGGCTGCACTAGCTCAAACTCATACGCAATCGGTTGAGTCAAGACCATATCCGTCGTCTGCGCCATATTGTACGCAAAGTCGATGTTCTCGGGCGACGTTTGGTAAAGTGAGACTAGCATATTCACCCAGACATCGTATTCCGGCTTCCAGGTATTGACGTAGTAGGTTGCCTGTTGGTATTTTCGGATTGATGTGTAGTTGGTGGCCAGCTCGTCTTTGTACAAAGCGTCGAGATTGCGCCATGGGACTCCAAGTGCTTTCCAGTCTTCCAGACCGATGGGGTTTGTGAGAATGAGATGGGATGTTTGCTCTGGGTACATGAGGGCGAATCGCGTGGCCAACATACCACCCATGGAGTGTCCTAGTACGTATGTTGACTCCACGCCTAGGCTTTGCAGCAAGAGATGTGTGTTTCGCGCCAGCTGCTGCAGCGAGAACTGGTAGGCGGGTGGTTTGGATGACTTGCAAAAGCCGATTTGATCGGGGATAATGACGCGGTATGCGTGGGCTGAGAGGCGACGCGCTGAGTCCTCCCATGTCGCGCCGCAGAAGTTCTTGCCGTGGAGAAGCATGATGGTCTTGTTTGAGGCATAGCTGGTGTTTTGAGAGGGTACATCCATGTAAGCCATGGAGAGATTTGCGCGTTGCGACGCAAACTCAAAGTACTGTACTGGCCATGGGTAGGTGTAGTTCCAGATGCTGGGTGGAACCGTGTTCGCGCCAAATGCTGTCGCAACAAGTTGCGTGAGAAGTAGTAGCTTCAGCCGCATCTTGAAAGTGACGATGGAAACCTGAGACGATGGAACGTGGTCGAGAGAGAAAGAGAGAGAGAGGTGGTAGAACGTGAGGTTGCCATTCAAACTCCTGGATTCCTGACATGCATATGATGTGCAATGACGCCTGCCAATCTATCTTGCCTATCGCGACCCACTCCAATTCTTGTCTCTGTGCATTGCTTCGTATTGCGATTTACTGAATGGTGCGAACGCACGCAAATACATTGACTTATCAGCAGGAGGAGACATGTTAAGCTTTGTTCGTTTTGGTATCTAAATGAGATCGCACCTTCCCGTCTACGCAGTCATGTATCATAGTCGTTACTGTGTTCAGGATGTTATTCTACTTGCCAAGATGAAGAGCGTCCGATTAATCCTCCAATGAGATGAAGGATGCCCAGCGGTACGCATGAAAGATACTTTTGAGTTGTCGTGTCGCGCTGCAATATAGGATTCTGTCAATGACCATAGACACAGCCGTCAGAATCGTGTAGATACATCCGCCGTTTCCCTGAAGCAAGGAAGTAGTCGATTACCGGGAGGATCAAACCTGCCAGGTTGTGACCAGGTGTGAGGGGAATATGGCGACTAGCGCCCAACATGGCTAGCACCAAGCTGCGCGTCTTAAACCCCGGAACCCCATCAAATTTCCAGCTTCCACTTCTCCGCCCCCCAGTTCAAGCCACACCCCGCGAACGGACAGCGAAGACATCCACCCCGACCCCTGCATCGTCTAGCATCCATGATGCCATCGCCACGAGGCCGGCGGGCTACATGCAGTGCCTAAACGGCTAAATTACATCGGACCTGAACCTCGGATGAAGATGCATAGACCACTATCGCGATGCTGCGCTCGGTGTGATCCAACTGCAGGCCAAGCGATACATCGATCTGGAAGGATTCACATCCATTGCGATATTGAGTGACAGCCGAAGATGCATATCGTATGCTCGTGTTGAGGCGAGTGCATCCGCTTCAGATACGAGAGGTTTTAGTACGCGTATGTCGTTCGGTCGGGTCGTTGCGGTACCAGTCTTCTGCTTAAGCATTCTGCCACTGCCCCTGCCTAGTGATCGATCTACACCTCGTTTCCTGGGGTTAGTCCGTTCTCGAATGCTTATTTCCAATAGCCTCATGTGGAGGAGAGCTGCTTGCGGCTAGCGCTACGGTTGTTCATCTGCAAGCACGACGCCATCCGGGTTACCGGTGCCGTATAAGAGGATCAAGATGAACGACCATGGTTCTCCAGCTGTCGATCAAGTCTCTGCGCCAAGCTGGACATTCAAGATGACAGTCATCACCACCCTCGTTGCCGCCGCAGCGGCTGGTATTGTTGCTGTCTCTCAGGCTTCACCAGTGGGATCAGCACCTGCCGTTGGCGTTTCGAACGCGAAGTCCTCTTTGACGCTCATTTACCAGAACAACCTCAACGGCTCAGACGACAAGAACCACATTGGTGCCATCATCCTCGACCCGGTCCCTCAAGCCAATGCAGCAGCAGCCTGTGCCTCGCTCAACGAGAAACTCATCTCCAAGGCTACGCTCCAGAAGTACCAGGCTGATTTCAACGATGCTCTCTCGTACCAAGATTATGCCAAATACACCGACGCTGAACGAGGGTACTACATCGACAGCGGCGTGGTTTCAGTCGGCAACCGAGTGAAGTACATGTCCGCTTCGTCACATCACAAGCAACTCCCAGTCTTGTGTACACAGTCGGCAAACAACGGTTCAGCAAGCGCCGGGCCTGTAAACGGAAGTTCCATCTCAGTAGCATCTGGTGGAAACACTTTCGTCGGTTACCGCAACCAGAAGTCGTTCAGGTTCCTAGGCATTCCATATGCCGACACGCCTACCCGTTTCAAGTACTCTTCACTCTACTCCAAGAAGGGTCAAACGATCCAGGCCACCGATTACGGCTCGAATTGCATCCAAGGTGGTGGTGGAAGCGAAGACTGCCTTTTCCTCAACATCCAAACACCATACATTCCCAAAGCGGGATCGAAGAAACAGCTCCGACCCGTCTTATTTTGGATCCATGGTGGTGGGTTTACCGGAGGAAGTGGCGCTGATCCACTCTCTGACGGTGGTAACCTTGCAAGCAAGGAGGATCTTGTTGTTGTCAACATCAACTACCGTCTTTCAACTCTCGGCTTCCTGGCCATTCCTGGAACAGACATCAAGGGCAACTTCGGCATCGCCGACCAGATTTTAGCACTCGACTGGACCATTGCAAATATCGCTGCCTTTGGTGGTGACCCAGAGAGGATCACGATTGCCGGAGGATCTGCCGGAGCCGGCTCTGTCCGAACACTATTGGGCTCTCCTAAAGCCATCGGCAAATTCCAAGGCGCAGTTGCCCTGTCCAACCTTGGAGGAGGCGTAACGCTTGGTCTGGACGGTGACTACGGAACAACGTATTCAACTTACTACACGGTCAACCAAAGCTACACCGTTGCCGGACCTCAGATCTTTGCGGCCGCTGGCTGCAACAGCACTGATGTGTCAGCCCAAATTGCTTGTCTCGACAAAGTTCCTGCTGCAGACCTAGTCGGCTTCAACACTGTAGCCCGATACGTCGTCCAAGACGGTGCCTATGTCAACACGCCCGAACTCATCATCTCAACCCGCAATGCCAGTACCGCGCACATCCCCGTCATCTTCGGTACCGTTCTCGATGACGGCGCTTCCTTTTCCACATACCCCACTAGCCCCATCTCAAACCACTCTCAAGGACTGCAGGAAGCGCTAGGTATTAACAGCACATGGGCCGAACGCGTCATCCAGTCCGGTCTTTTCCCCTTCACCAGCACTGGTAATCTAACGCTCGACTCCTTCAACGTCTCGCAGCGCATTGCCACTGACAAGACGTTCCGCTGTGCCGATCAATCTACAGTTTACTCTGCCTCGCGATCGAAAGCCTTCTCAAAGACATACTACTACCAACTCGACCGTTCCATCGACGGCTACGACCCCAACAACCTGGGTGGCCCTGCCAACGACAACCCCGAGAACCCGTACTTCCGCTTCCACGGCGCAGACTCGCCTTGGTTCTTCGGCGTTCTGAACCGTATCCGCGAACCAGAGGATCTGTGGAGTGTTCAGCTCACAACCAGCTACTTCGCTTCCTTTATCAGGAACGGCGACCCGAACCCTAGCTTGAAGTATCTTGATGTAAGAGGGTATTACAAGGTGCTTGAAGGTGTGACGAAGTATGGCCAGTGGATGCAGGTTGACGCGACTAAGAAGTCGGGAGATGAGATTAGGTTGTTGGATTGGCCGAGCAAGAGCGCCGGATACACGGATGTGGAGCAGTGTGATTGGCTGGGGTACCCTCTGGATTACTACCTGAACGGAGGGATCTGAGTAGCTGGTACTGCTATGAGCCGTGCCCGTATGTAGTCATGTGTAGGAGAAGCCTTCTTAATGCATGTGTAGCCGTCATCAAACATTCGACCAAGTCTATCAATGCAGTACATCTGTGACACCTGTAACGAAAGCAAATGGTAATCGCAAAGCTAACAGTATACCCTGGTGTTTGGTTTGGCACACAAGTTTGTCTTTTTGTCAAATTTCGTTGCCCTCTTGCGGGTTGTATCAGTGAAGGCGCCCGGGCGCTCGCACTCACTCACCGAAGTGAGAGTGGACCGCTGCTGCCTGATCAGGGCTAGTACCCACTAGGCTCTAGCATTTCTGTTTACGAATCGCCTTCCGCCAGCTTCCTTCGCGTTCAGACTACTCTCTCCGGTGAGGTATCTTCATCCACCTGCTCTAAGCCGCCATGAGTTATTTCGACGTTCGTGTTCGGGAGTCGCTCTTCCAAAGGATCGACGGCGGCAAGCTCAAGAAAACGCCCACCACACCTAAGGAAGCACGACAAGTAGCCAAGATCGCGGAAGATTGGGTTCCGCCCGGTGTGTTTCCATTCTTCCGCCTTCCACGAGAACTCCGCGATACGATATACAAGTACGCCCTAGGAACGGAGGCCAGAGTATTCCGCGCCGACAATCTCCTGTTGCTAGCCACTTGCCAAACGTCTCCCAAGTACGGTCTCCGGGTTGTGAATGAACAGAAGGAAATCGATGCGGTGAACGGTGAGGGATCTGAGGAGAAAGAGGATAAAGAAGACACAGAAGAGAAGGATGGAGAAAACGCAGACGAGAAGGATCAAGAATGGGGATGGTATGAGGGTGGCTACGGAGGTGATATTTGGAAAGAATATGAATGGTATGAGGGTCGCTATGATATGTGGTACATGGGTCTTAACTCAGCCGTACCGGAAGGTCTTCCCAACTGGCTTCGCAGCAACAAGCAACTCTGCTCAGAAGCACTCCTGTGCTTTGGCGCTACCCGAACGTTCGTCATAATCGACTACTACGATTACACCGATTACACAAAAGCCCATAGCAACCCTCCCGACATGGCTGGCTTGACCAACTCGCTGGTCATGAATAGGAACGTCATTCGCCACGTCGCAATCAGGAGAGAGGTCGACCAGCTTATGGACGACGACCCGAAATTCCTGGTTCTTCTTCAAGGCCTGCAAGTTGAAAACTTGACGATGGATTTGGAATGGAGTCATCGTCTCGACTATGAATCGGATGATGAGGATTCGCTAGAAGATTGTATTGAAGAGTGGGACACTTTGGATCTTGGCTATTGGGAGGGTAGGCTACAGAAGCTGAAGATCACGATTCCTACAAGGCGCGAATATGGAGACGAGGCTTTCAATACGAAGACCTTTGATCTGGCTGAAAGATTGGCCACTAGACTGTTCGGACCTGGCGCTAAGGTGGTCTGGGGCCCTTACGTATATGACAAGAGGCAGGGCAGTATCGGCCTGTACAAGAGGTATCTGACTGTAGAGAAAGCGGCCTAGGGTGTTAAGCTTGGGCATTTGGTGGTGAGAAGAAGTACATGCGGTGAACGAGAGGGCGTTCGATCGAGAGCGGCCATATGTATTGTACTACCTCTGTGCTTCAAGGCTATGGGATCAAGCATCTGCTCAGTAGGCGTGTTATTATCATCGTGCGTTCGATCAAGTAGTCAAATTCTCATGGTATCCAGAGTTTCTTCAGTGACTTATCAATTGATCGGAAGTCCATCATAGTAGACCCAGAACACCTTCTGTGAATTCCCAAGTAGCCGCTTGAACATCATGCCAGACCCAGGAGGTTGTTGACGTCTCGGCATGTATCACTCCACTCACTTCAATCTCACTGACACCCTCCAGGCTCAGCCACTAACCTAATTCACGCGGGTAGAATCGTTGTCGTCTCATATGGAATCAATCGCTTCGGCGGCCTCTTACATGGTTTGGACGGCGTCCAACACATCTTAATCCTGGATATCCTTGGGCTCGGAAGGACTGTTAGCCTGGCGGCTAGCCTCGGCACTAGCGAGGAGGAAGTCTTCACCTGAGAGGTGTTCACCAGGGACGATCTTGCCAAAGAAATCGATCGTAGCGAATAACCCCGGGTCTCGGATAAGGTTTTTGGTCTTTTCTGTAGTACGGACGCCCCAATCTTTCATCTCAAGCAACGTATTCGACATCCTTCTTGAGGTTCAACCGTGGCGAACGAAGCTGGAATTCACAATCATGCTACTGTTGCGACTTCTCAAGGCATCTACGTCTTACTTTCCTGTGACGAATGCGAGTAGTTAGCGACGTTTGGGAGTATGTCAATAGTTTTCGGGATAACATTCCAATGGTCTATAGCACACCTAGAAGTTTATCATGTGCTTACGCAGGTAACCATATACACTTACTTCATACCCGTGTACGCCTGGCCACATTCTTTGAACATGGTAATTGATACGATCTATTGCACGTCTTCGTAATCTTGGCTCTTTTTGCAAACAACTAGACTTTTCTCAACCTGATCACGTTTATAATTCACTTTCACTAAGATACGGTCTCGCATCAAAGCGCAAAAAAGTAGTAAATCCTGCAGAGTTTCGAACACGAGGCCGCAGAAAGAGGCAAAAAGAAACTCTTACTAAGCCACTAGAGACACGGATTAAACTCCCTAGACTATAGGGAAACATGCGTAGAACACTAGCCAGACTGTTCGTTGTTTCTTCGTGGAATATAGACGGATTAGTTGGTATATATAGAAGAGTTCAATATCCGCTTAGAATGGGCTGATGGTGGGCGCCCCAGAATTGTGGGCTTGTTTACATTTGTGAAGGTGAGCGAGCGCTCGTTTGTACACAGGCCATCCGTGCGGTGTGATACCGCTGCGCAAATACTGTCCCTACAGCAACAGAACATGAACGTCTGATGAGGGATTCCAAGCATCCATTTGTAAAGCCTTGCTCGTGATCATTCGATCTAGCTAAATACGAAAACTTGCGAAGTGATTCAGTGAAAGGAAGCCCCCGAAATGGCGCACATATCTAGGCAGCACCCCGTCACCTCGACCTCTATTATTGTCCACGGACAGGCAATCGATATTGCCAGGGAAGCGACGTCACTGCGAAATTGGGCGCAGATTTTGAGTCGCGCTCACCTTCACCTTCATCTTCACCGCGACTAGTATCACGTCAGTGGGTATATATCTTTCTTCTACAACCGCAATACTCTCTTCTCCAACCTCACACATCCCCTGACTACATATACTACATTCGTATCTACATCTACGTCTACATCATGGCTCCCACTACCCCCCTCCCGCCGAACCGCTCGCGCGCCATCAAGGTGGAGCTCTACTGCCCCGAGACCGGTGACAAAGCGAACAACTTCCTCATTACACCGTCAATGACACATGACGACATCATCTTCAACATTGAGCGCACACTTCGTCTCCGTGATCAAGAGATCTGGGCCTGCGACATCAATGGCGAGCTACTCTACAACAGCGACATGAACTCCTTCCACTTCAACAATGTCGCCGATGGAGAGAAGTTGCTGATCGGTACTTACGACTACCACCGTATCAGTCCGGAGCCTGAGCTGGAGGTCGTTCTGTATCTTGATGATACATCAGGCCTACTAAAGAGGTCACTCAGGGTAAGTTTCGAGATTTGTTGAGGAAGGGAATCGATTGGTACTTTCCCATTCGCCCACCTACCCAGAGAACTCAGCGATTATATCTACGGCTACACATCGGCCCACTGCCTACTATCCTTATGACTAAGGGTCTACTCATCCAGGCCATACGCAAGGTCCGATCTTTGGAGGAAGATGATGACGACGATGACGATTTCTGCATTGAAACATACTAACGTACCTGCAGGCACTCGGAAAAGAAGCTCTTCGCAACCACATGAGCAAGCTTCGTCGTTGCGATGCCCCCCTCCGCAAGAACGTTCTCCGCCTCGTCAAGCCATACAGCCGTATCGCGAGCTTAATCAAGGACTTCGATTCGGCGAACGCGAAGACACTGAAGCAGAAGTACAGTGTGTCCGCATCGAAGCGCGACATCAAGAGCTTCTGGTGGATCAAGGACACGGCGATGAAGTTTGAGCCGGGGGTCCTCGCTCTGATCGCGATCCTCGCTGAAGCAACAGCGGGTAACGACGAGATCGCTTCAGATGCGCTCATCGATGCGAAGAAGGCTCGTCTCGACAACACCCCTTGGGGTTCAAAGGAACTGCAAGAGGAAGACGTTCGCGAAGCCATCAAGGCACTCTATGAGGCTGCGGATGCCCTCGATTCCGTGTGGCCGGAGACCAAAGACAACAAGAAGATCACGGTCAAGGATGCAAAGAAAGAACGCTATGCGAAGGCTAGCGGCAAGGGCAAAGCGGTCAAGCGTGATGCTGATCTGGGTGAAGAGGCCTTTGAGGCTGCGCATCCTGGCACGATGGCTTCGCGCGAGATGGATGGTCTGGCCGGACTTATAGGCAAGAGCAAGTTGCCGGATACGATGGTGTCTGATGACTCCGATGAGGAGCCAGTAGTGAAGCCAGGTAGACTTCGGCGTACTTGAAATGTGCACAACGTTGGGGTGGAGATCAGTGCTAGATACGATGATTGAGGAGGGAGACTGGGCTCGTACAAGTAGGGTAGCTAGGTCTTTCGAGTGGACAAAATGAGTAGTTGGAGAATATAAATGGAAAGCACGAGACACAGGGAGAGAAGTTGATACAATGTATGATGATGATATGAAGATGGCGACCATCATCGTCGATGCTTGTGAGGTTGTATGCCGCAGATCTTCATCAGATGTACAGTAAGACTTCAATGACTAGCCTGACCATGACCAGGGTCCAGTGTGAGTCAAGGCGCATGCTCTTCTTCATTGTCGTTGTGCTCGATGTGCATGAATCATGATTCACCTTACACTGGTTCTCAGCGAGTAAGCCACCGGTTAGCAGTGCCTCTGTGTTGTTGAGTAGTCGATGGCGGACCATCGCCACAGAATCCATGAGCCGGAAGGAGACGTGGAGGTGGAGGCTTAGGTTCGGACGAATGAACGATTTGTAAGGCGGAGGTGGCGTACTTTCAACATGGCAGTACGCAGTTGCCGTTGAAGCGATCTCGGGTGGAAGCCGCGGGGCACGACTGCCGAGAGCGTGTCTTTTCGTACCGCGTATACGATTACGCTCAGCGACATCTCCTGCAGGCCGCGTCAACAATACTTTCATCTCCATACATGCATCTAGCTCATAGCTTAGCACTATGCACCGTCGCGATTCGTTGTGTAGCGCGAGGCCATAGCACCGCCGCGACGTTATGTGTCGCCCGTTGATCGTCATGGCGGAGTCCGGAGCCTCGGAACAGAACTATTTGCGAAGCTACTCCTCGCTGCGCATGGCGCATACGCTGTAGTGAAGAAAAACACGCTGTTCAGGTAATGTAGAGCAGTTCGGTCGAACAAAACGACCGTACGCAGGCTGCCTAATGGCGCGGACGCGACGCGCTATGGACGGCAATAGTTGCGATCAAGGCCCAACGAAGATGACGACATTGTTTATCGCATAACAACAGGGCAGCGGTAGTTACTTTGCGCCAAACGCTTGTCTCGACATCTCAAACATGGAGAAAGTAACACACCCTTCGTACCGGCAGCTTGCCGAGTGCCGAAAGCGTATTGTTTCGAAATGAGCGCCAGCCACTCACGGGAGATGACGCGCCACAACGGTGCCCGCTGACCAGAGCCTTACCGCAGAAAGGCGGTGTCAGCTAGCAACTGCTGCAAACGATGAAGATGTGTCAAGGACCGATGATGGCTGAGGGCCTGGTGATTCAGGCGGGCATGCGACAGCACTTTACAAACCAAACACGGACAAAACCTCGACGAGAAGAGATGGGACTAAAAATAAAGTTTGATCGTCAGGGCCTTCAGCCACGACAAGTGGCACGCCTAGTAGCACGCCTATGAGGTCAGATCCTCCTAGCTCTTCCGGGCGTTTGGTGCGTTGGAGCCAGGAGCATAGCCGCCTGTGCAGTGTGGGTCATTCCGCAGCCTCCCGTCAGCATGGAGCGCATCATTTAACATTGCCATGATTCCGCATTTGTTCGCGATTCATTTCGCGTCTTCTCAGCCTTCACACCCCTCCTTTCTTTACATTCATTCGTTAGGATGAAGTATTCTTCTGTGTTGTCTGCTTCGGCATTGACTAGTTTAGCGACCTGTAAGTGATGCGCCTCCTTGTGTTCCTGCAGGGACCCAGCTGACGCATGACAGCATCTGCGGTTGTTCCTCGGGAAGCTAGAGTCGTACCTCCCAATGGCTTGGATGTCCTGAAGCGTGCCTCGCCCCAGGCTCCCAATGGCTACGCGCCCGCAGAAGTCAACTGCCCGTCCACGCGCCCGAGCATTCGATCCGCCGACAAACTCTCCCAGCAAGAGACAGAATGGCTCCAGAAGAGGAGGCCGAACACGATCGATCCTATGCGCGAGTTCCTCGAACGCGTCAACATTGAGGGCTTCGACGTTGGTCAATATATCAGTAACCACCGCGACAACACGACCGCCCTGCCGAACATCGCGATCTCGTTCTCTGGTGGAGGATACCGCGCCCTGCTGAACGGTGCGGGTGCTCTGGCGGCGTTTGACAGTCGGACAACAAACTCGACGAGTGCAGGACATCTGGGAGGAATCTTGCAGGCATCCACATATGTTTCCGCACTATCGGGAGGAGGCTGGATGATTGGCAGCATCTACGCCAACAACTTTACCTCAGTTGAGGCAATCATCAACAAGGGCGAGGACTCGGCAATTTGGCAATTCCAGAACTCGCTGTTCAAAGGACCTCCTACGAAGGGAATCCAGCTGCTCTCGACTGCGCAGTACTACGACAACTTGGTCAGCACGGTCAAGGACAAGAGTGATTCGCCAGCTGGTGACTTCAATACGTCGATTACCGATGTTTACGGCCGCGGTCTTTCTTTCCAGCTCATCAACGCCAGCGATGGAGCCCCAGGTATGTTTACCCCCAGATCCTTTTTAAGTCCACAAGCTAACCCCAATAGCCTACACCTTCTCTTCCATCCAGGACGACCAAGACTTCTCGTCTGGAAATGCACCGATGCCTATTCTCGTCGCAGATGAGCGTTCGCCCGGAGACTTGATCATCTCTTTGAACGCCACCAACTTCGAGTTCAACCCGTTCGAAATGGGCTCATTCGACCCTACAACCTACGGCTTTGCTCCTCTGAAGTACATCGGTTCCAACTTCAGCGAAGGTGAACTTGCACAAGACCAGGGCTGCGTTGAGGGATTCGACAACCTGGGTTTCGTCATGGGAACCAGCAGCTCCTTGTTCAACCAGATCTTCCTTACACTGAACACCATCCAGGATGTGCCCCAGATCCTGGTGAACTTCGTATCGAACATCCTCAAGGGTATCGGTGAAGATGGCGACGATATTGCCGACTACTCGCCCAACCCTTTCTTCCGTTACCACAACGAGACGAACCCCAGTGCTGACAGGGAGCGTCTTACTCTCGTGGACGGTGGTGAGGATGGCCAGAACATTCCCTTCAACCCGGTCATTCAGCCAGTACGCCAGGTCGATGTCGTCTTTGCTATCGACTCCTCTGGTGACACAGTCGAGGAGGACGACCCGTCGCAGAACTGGCCCAACGGTACTTCTCTGGTTGCGACCTACGAGCGTGCAAGCGGCACTCTCATGAACAGGACATCATTCCCTTACATCCCCGGCCAGGACACTTTCGTTGCCCTAGGTTTCAACAGCCGCCCCGCTTTCTTCGGTTGCAACAGCAGCAACGTTACTGAGGGCGACAACATCCCTCCTCTCGTCGTCTACCTCCCCAACGCCCCCTACGTCTTCTGGTCCAACACCTCCACCTTCAACAAGCTCGACTACAGCATCTCAGAGCGCAACGGCATGATCGAGAACGGCTACGACGTTGTCACCCAAGCAAACTCCACACGTGAGGGTGCTTCAAACTGGCCTACTTGCGTCGGATGCGCTATCCTTTCTAGGAGTTTGGAGCGCAACGGCGAGGCGATCCCACAAGTGTGCCAGCAGTGCTTCACAGACTACTGCTGGAACGGCACCACAATCGAGACTTCGCAGCCATACACACCGGAGTTGATCGTTGGTCAGCTCGCCACTACAAACAACGGCGACGACGACAGCGGTGTAGGAAAGTTCGTTCCCAATGTCCTCGGTCTTGCTCTGGCAGCGGCCGTGTCTGGATACTTGATGATGTGAGATATTTTCTAGTTTGCTTTTGGCGACATAGGGATTGGATTCAGCGCGGTTGAAATATGATACCACCTCTCTTTTGTAGATAGTAATTGAGTCAATACACGTATACCGAACGCTCCATTGCCATTCACCTATCACACGTGCGACATTACCATACCATGCATTGCGGCTCTTCGGCGCCGCCCGTCCCTGCATCACCGAGGCGTGCCCCGCCAGTTGCGCGCCCGTCAAAAAAAGTTACAACCCCGCCACGCTTCGCGCACTCAACGCCGCTCTTCCGCAATCACCACACACAATGGCCGCCGTTCCGTCGCTCTCAGGCGCGCCCGTACTCTCTACGCCCGACACGCACATCTTCGAAGACCCCACACCCGCCGTAGACACGTCTAGTCTCCCCAGACTTTCCGATGAGCAGATCACGCTCACATACGAGATTGAGCGGACGGTCAGAGAAATTCGCGAAGGGAGATGGAAGAGGATTGCGTTGCAGTTCCCAGATCACATGCTCACTGATGCGCCGAGAGTGTATGAGCAGCTGAGTCGGGGGCTGGGTAAGGCGAGGAAGGCGCGGGATGGGGTGCAAGAGGACAATGGACATACAAATGGGACAACAGGCGTGGAAGAGATCAGCGCGGGCTTGGAGAAGGCGGCAATCAGTGAGAAGGGGAGCAAAGACGAGAGTCTGTTTATACTGGGCGACACATCATATGGCGCGTGCTGTGTAGACGAGGTTGCAGCAGAGCACGTCGATGCGGACGTTGTCGTACACTATGGCCGCTCATGTCTCTCGCCTCCTTCAAGACTACCAGTCGTATATGTCTTTACCGAACGACCGCTAGACCTCGACCCCGTAATCGCAACATTCCAAGAAACATATCCAGAGAAAGACGCAAAGATCATCCTCATGGCCGACATACCATACTCGCACCACATCCCCCCGCTCCACGCACGCCTCCAAGAAGCCGGTTACACGCACATCCACGCCACAGAAATTGTACACAATCCATCGTCGCCGCTTCCAAACCGAACGATACCACCAAACACAACAGAAACAGACGAAGCCCTCCACGACTACGCCCTCTTCCACATCTCCGACCCGCCAACCTCCCTCCTCCTCACCCTCTCCTCGCGCGTCGCCTCAATACACATCTACCCCACAGACACCCCCTCCGCCACCCCACCCACCGCCTCCCTAGCCCGCACCCACCAAACCCTCATGCGCCGCTACGCCCTCCTGACCTCCCTCTCCACAACCCCCATCTTCGGCATCTTGATCAATACACTCTCCGTAAAGAACTACATGCACATCCTTTCGCACGTCCAACGGCAGATCACGGCTGCAGGCAAGAAATATTACACCTTTGTCGTGGGCAAAGTGAATGCAGCCAAGGTGGCTAATTTCAGCGAGGTCGGGGGGTGGGTGGTGATAGGGTGTTGGGAGAGCAGTTTGATTGAGAGCAGGGAGTTTTGGCGGCCGATGATTACGCCGTGGGAGCTCAAGGTGGCGTTGATGGGGGATGAGGAAAGGGTTTGGACGGGGAGGTGGGAGGGCGACTTTCAGAAGGTTTTGGATGAGGGGGAGGGGGATGTGAAAGAAAGCACAGAGGAAGCACAGGAAGAGGTGGGCAGTGGGCAGGACGGAGAAGCAAATGCAAATGGCGATTACGATTCTGAAGAGGAATCTGCGCCTCCGGAATTTGACCTCAGGACTGGGCGCTATGTTTCGCATGCAAGACCTATGCGCTCGAGCGGCGCGACGAAAACCGTTAACGGCAATGCAACGACGTCGTCGTCTAGTTCGGCACTGACGAAACGGGCGAATGGCGATATTGCGGCTGTGGGGGGCGTCGCGTCGCCTGGTGCAGAGTACTTGCGCTCGAATAGGACATGGCAGGGTCTGGGTACGGATTACCGGGATGCTGAAGATGGAGAAGAGGGGGCTGGTGGGAAAGGGGCGGCTAAGATGGAAGAGGGGAGGAGTGGAATTGCGAGGGGGTACGTTGTTGGTGAGCAGGGGAGCAGGCATTGAGTAGATGCGAGACGAGGGATTCAATTCTCATCATCTGTTGACAGTATTACTATCTCGGAACTACGAAAGCGTTTGAAACAACAGAACGTGTTGATGCTTATGAGATACCGTCGCGCCCTTTTCCATACTCTTCACTACGTCCTCTTGAACAGTCTCGACGAGATTCTCCTTCCTTCATAAAGTCATTGCTAGATTCCCTTGGCCAGCAGTCCTCTCATTGCATTCACATCACAACTCTCGCCCAAGTCGCCTCCATGTCTTGGACCAGCGTGAGGAAGTCGTCGCTTTCCAGGTGGCGGTAGACGAATTCGTTGAGCGCTGCTCTGCGTCCCTCGTCAGACTGCATCGCATATGTCGCCAGCTGGTCGTTTTCATTCACACTCACAGTAGCACCTGGATTTGACACGCTCACACGACGGTGACCAGCAACAGATGTGGGTGGGGTGTCGAGATCACTATACGACATTCTATAGTGAAGATTCTGTGCAGCATTACTTCGTTCGCCGAGAGGTTGCGGTGTCGGGATTGCGCTGAAACTTGACCGATTGAAAGATAACGGAGAGGAGATTGGAGACGATGTCAACGGTGACTGATTCTCGATGCCGCCATGTGGAGATGTCTTTGCGCGTGCAGGAATGTACTGGTCTTGGTTCGGTGTGCGAGGAGGCTGTTGCATTGGTTGCTTTCCACGTGCGGTCTTGCTGATGACAGTGGGTTGGGGCAGAGGTGGGAGTTCGATCTCCTTGCTGGTTGCGCTTCGGCTGGAACCAGGTCGGTTACTGGCTACGCGTGCTGGTAGAGGAGGAGGCCCCATTGTGCCAGTAGAGGGCCGCACGCTGTCGCTACCGGAGGAGCGCGGCGAAGATAAGCGTGGGAAAGGAAGCTCGCGTCTCGGTGGTAGTATCTCAGTGCTGCCCGGACGATCCGCAGTACCGGGACGACTTGCACTACCAGGGCGGTTGAACAGCATAGCAGTGTCCGGTCGCTCCGTAGACGTACGATGAGGTTCTTGCAGGTCCGGAATGTGCTTGTCTGACGTATATGAAGAGTCAACATGCGAGCGTCCTAAGATATCCGACGTTGCTGAGGTAGGACGAGTGAACACTACTGGAGGAGCAAGAGGACCTGAGAATGGTGCCGGCACACCACCCGCTTCTCTAGTATAGCCTGTCGTGGCAGAAACTGGACGGGTATATGATGCTGTGGGTAGTTGATGATTCAAGGAAGCAGCGAAGTCATAGCTAGTGGACGGTCGACTAGAGATCTCCGCCAGTCGTGAAGGAGGGCATGATGGTCCACCTATAGCAGGGCTCATATTAGGCATTTGAGGGTACGCAACAGCAGTTAACCTTGGCCGGGAAGACGATCCTCCTCGCGCTGGCGATGGTGGCTGAGCCGTAGACCTTGGCTGAGACGGGACTGCCTTTTGGCCGCCCATGTAGAGACCGAGATGAAGGAGGTGGCTGAACGCGGTATCGAAGTCTTTGTCTGACTTGAACCTCATCTGGATGCGCCTGATCTTGTCGTTGGCAATCTGCCATTTGATAGCGAGCAGAGGGCAGCGCACAATGGCGGATATGTGTAGGTGGTCGGGCTGCACCTGCACTCCGCGCTCTTCACTCAGACGCGTAATGTGATTGCCTTCGTTGATCAGTCTCTCGATTTCGATGGTTTGCTGTCATCCAACGGTTAGCTAGCACATCGTTTGAAGCGGGTTTCCAAACTGAGTGGGTGGGTAATTAGTTATGATGCGTCGTACCCGAACCTGCGAGCCTTGACACAGTTTCATGAGCTGAAGACCCCCGCGCGCACCATAGCTGTCGATGATGAGTGTGAGGTCATTGGTCTCTTTCTGCCAGTTGAACCTCTGCTCGCTGGCGTCGGTGTCCTGTGCTGTTGACAGAGTCTGGAGTGGAAGGGATAGCATGATGATTGTTAGCAATGCTGTTTGTTAGTCGAGATCAATCAGCTGCCATCTGATGGCATTTGTGCGATGAACGTTGTCGTCTTGGAAAAACGCCGAGGTCGCGCATCTATGTGTTGAGGATGTGAGAGATGGTCGAAGGAAGTCGCGACCGCACCGCAGTCACATGATGTGGTCCGTGCGAATCAACGCGAGGGAGCTGGTGCAGTCTGGAGTTCTGGTGTTCGCCCATCCATCATCGCGAACGACGCGCGCCGCGCATTCACGAGCAGATCCACCATTGCGCCTGGCACACAGCTGAATCCACGCATGCGTCGCGCCCCGTGCCCGAGCAGTCCCGAGTAAATGCGACAGCCGCACCATGGCCCCAAACAAACCAGAGGAACAATCTGTCGAGCGCACCCAAGAACATGAAGACTTCCTGAACACCTTGGTCGAATACCACGAAAAGCGCGGGTGGGTTTTGTTCTTTGTCTCGCCGCAATGAGCGCATATTGACCCGACGTGTAGCACTGTCCTGGACCGCGAACCCAAGGTCGGGAGCCGGCACATTGACCTGTTGCGACTCTACAAACGCGTTAATGAAGAGGGAGGGTACGATAGGGTTTCAGATACCAAAAACAACAAGCTTGCGTGGCGCAAAATCGCGACTGAGTTTCTGCCCAAGAGCCCCAGCATCACAACCCAGGCCTTTTTGGTGAAGACGGCCTACTACAAGAACCTTGCGTACGTGAATCGTGAAAGACAACTTTGCGCCTACCACTGCTGACGCCTGCTCTAGCGCCTACGAAATATCCACCGTTCACAAGCGCGAACCCCCGCCGCCCGAAATCCTCGAGAACGTGTCTGCAAAGGGCGGAGACCTGCTCAACCGGACCGTCGACAACTTCTTCCCAACCAGCAATAGAGAGGCCGAACGACTAAGGGGAGAGGAAGACAGCGATTCCGAAGACGACGTCGAGAAGACACCCAAAGACGATAAGATGGACGTGGACGAGCCTGGTAGCCTCGGGCGGTCGACGAGGTCCCTCCGCCATGCGCCGCCGCAGCGAGTGCTCTTCCAGCCCGAGTCTTCAACCCGACAGACGCGCCAATCGACAGGCCATCTGACTTCGTCGCAAGCCAACGGCTACGGCACCAGCGGCGCAGCCATGACGATCGCGAACTACGAGCCACGGACCGCCGTACCAGCCACCATGAAGCCCGTCGTTACCCCGTCCAACTCCCTCGATACCTACATACAGTCGCGCAAGAAGTACATTCTCAACAAGAAGAACAGGCCGGTGCCGCTCAAGGGCATGATGCTGCCCGGTACCGGCTTCTCAGGGCCCAGCATATACATCCGCGCTTTGAATGCGCTGCGGTCAAAGGAGCCTGAGGAGGAGGCATACGCACTCCACCACCTGGTCAAGATCTCGCACGAGCGAGGAGACAAGTACCGCTTCGATCAGTTCCCGGGGCTCGCAGATGCACTCATCGCCAAGGTCATTGACGTGTCCACATTGTTCTTCGATGTGAACTGGGACATCTCATACGTCGAGGAGGACTTTTCTCAGCCGCAAACCCTGAACGGACTGACCGGCACCCGCGACCTGTTGCAGCGCATCAAATCTCTCCGCCCACTCGACATGCACGACAACCTCCTACCCGAGCAATCCGCAAAGGCACTCACCATGATCAACGAGGCTGCGCTCATCATCCGGAACATGGTGATGCTGAAAGAGAATGCCATCTTCGCGGCCTCTGTGCCATCCATCCAAGACATGATCGTTATCGCACTCAACCTGCCCCGCCACTCCACTATCGTGGAGCTACAGCATTACGCCCTAGAGATTGCCGAGCAGCTGACAAAGTACTGGATACTGGACTCGCAAAGCCCGCTGTATCGCTCTTTGCTCGCCCAAGTGGATTCCGACGACCGTGGCCGCATTATCACATCGCTGAGAGCACTCGCCCGGATAGCAATGAACCTGGAGGCTACAAACAAGCTCTCTGACGTGCCAGTCAAGACCCTCAAGTCAATCTGCGACTGGCTGCTAGTAGAAGACGAGGATCTGCGCATAGCATGCCTGGACTTCCTCTATCTCTTCACTGGTTTCCCCGACAACGTTGAGACGCTTGTACACGAAGTTGACATTGAAGGAGTGGCGAAGCAACTGGTACGCTTGTTACAATACGGTGCAATTGCATACGAAGAACGAAGGAGTGCCGCCAAGACGGCAAAGACCTCTGCACCTCCAGAGAATGCGCCTAAGCTTTCGTCTGCAATCATAGATCATCTTGTGACGCTTGATGAGCCAGAGCGTAGCTCGCAATGGCTCAAGACGTGTTTCGAAGAGGATGCTACTGGCGAGATTACTCAGATCCAGCTCTGGTCTGCCTACAACGCAGCCTTCTCAGAACACATGACGAATAATCCGGCTTCTTTCAAGGCGCTGATGCCAGCTAAGGACTTCATCACGAATGTATCGACGACGTTCGGTGGCGCCTCCGCTCAGGTGTTGACCGTGGGTGGGCAGCCAAAGTATACCATAAGAGGCATACGGCCACGATCCGTACCAGTTGACCCAAGCACAAAGAGGCCGTACATGCGCTGCTGCTGGCATCCACCGAGCCTCCTGAACGGCCACGCCGACTCGAAACATTCGACAGCTAACATCGAGTGCGGTGAGTTCGCTTCTGGAGCACGCTCTATGTGGGAACACGTGGTCAGTGTCCATCTCCAAGTTCCCCGCGACCAGGAAACCGGACAGTGGCTGCTTGAGCCAAAGCTGGACATCAAGGACATTGTCAATATCGAGAACGGCGACACCCCAGAAGCGACGAAATACTACTGTCACTGGGGCGGCTGCACTCGATTCTCGCCTGACGGCACGGAATCCGCGTTCGAGGCTGGACAGCATGTCAAGACGCATTTGCCTGATACGAGTATCAAGCAGGCCATCCACGCGAAACACAACCGCACGCCTTCAGAGTCACGGCCCTTGACTTCTTCCGCACAAGCACGACATGAGAACTTCCAGCCGCAGTTTGGACAACCGGTCGGGCTGGGTAGCTTGGGTATGGGTGGGCGACACCAAAGTTCATCGACCAGCTCTGCAAGCAGATACGGTGGCCGAGAGGATGCAGCAGGAGCACAATCAGCACCCAACTTCCGCTACTACAATACGGCGACTGACGATACCAATGATGCCGCCGGCCTCCCTCTGTCCTCTGTTCTTGTCCTTCGCAACCTTGCTCGGCAGCTCAACAAGATCCCGCCCCCAACCACTGTCACCGACATTACCTCACCATCCTCCCCAGCCCACAAGCGGACGTTCAGTGCCAGTGAAGGAAGCCCCGAAGCCGCCAGACGAGCCACAGCCGGCGGCAAGAAGCCACGCCTCAGCGATGCGGCAGCGGAACAAAGACGAGAGAACGAAGAGAAGGAGGAAGAAGAAGCCAAGAACGCAGGATGGGTGCCTCGCATCTTTGCTCCGCTGCGAGACCAGATTGCCTTTACAGCGAGCCATAATCTTACTCTCCGGAACTATGTCGGCGGTCTGCTCAAGGCCATCGCTGAAGGTGGTAGTTAGATGTAGTAGTATGTGTTTGTAAAGCCCTTGCTGCATGGCGTTGGTGAGGTTGCAAAAGGCTGTTTCCGCTTTCTTCTGTATGAGCGACACGGTATTGTTTGGAGTTTACTACATTTGTGCTCAGGGGAGTGTACGCTTAGATATCTGGGCATTTTCATGATACCGCTTCGACTGATGAGTCGAGTGTTGGTATGTTTATTACACGTCACTTCAACAGGGTCCATGTTGTTTTCAAATTATTCGACTATTCACTGTCAGTATGTTGTACTCTATCTCAACACATCCTAGGTGTCGTGCACTTTACAACTGCAGGAAAAGTTTACGTGTCGGAGGGCAAACTTGTTTAAATTGAAGTCTTTTCAATGGAGGTGTATCTTAACGACATGCTCCTTCCAATTCGCCGGAACGCCTTCTCCATCCATCAAGCCATGCACATACGTATCTCCGACGAGCGTATAGTGACCTTTAGTCCCATCCTCAGCTGCTCGGAGGCAGAACGGTACGCGTCCTCCCAACAAAATAGCGACAGAGTCACCCGGAAGCATCTCCGGTGGGCCTACACCCATATAACCATCTGTCGTGACAAAGAACCTCCGATCAAAGCCCGACGTAAACCACGACTCATAGAAAAAGCGATCGTCGCTAAGATCGTCGCCATGTAGGCTTCCCGCGGCATCAGGATTAGTGGCTCGAGCTTGACACCAAGTCTGCAAGTTCCGTCCCAAGCGCGTGACATCCGTATTGCCGAATCTCTGTGATTTGTTTTCTCGCGAAGAGTCTTTGGACGAAGCAGCGGGGTTCGACGAAAGCGGTTCCCAGCAGTCAGTCGTCAAGACACGCCAGAGCGCTTCTTCCAACGACTGGTTTCCCAAAGCGCGGAAGACGTTTTCCTTCTCCGCTTCGATCATGCGATAGCACGTTTCAAGGGTGTCTATGATGTTTCTCCACGTGAGACGCTCCGTGTGTAATATCTGTGAGACTTGTGATATTGTCTGGCGTGGCTCGAAAGCGTCTACCGTGAGTACATCTTTCCTTCTCTCGATGTGGGCTGCCGTTCCGCCCGCCGCTGAATATAGTGCTGAGCGATGTACTTTGAGCTGTGCGACTGCGTACTGTGTTGGCGTTTTCGGGCTGATTTCCACGACCCAAGATGGTATGCCTGATACGCCGGCCATGGTTCTACCCATCAATGCACCCAACGAATGGGTACCGCGTATATCCCTGATGGTCGCTTGAATGAAGACTTCTTTCGGAGAGAGACTGTAGTCAGGGATAATGGGCGATGTACCTTGCCAGTCTGTGACGAGGCCTAGTACACCGAACACATTGTCTCTGATATTCGTCGCTTCGTGCAGGTGTACTAGACGCATAACTTGACTCAGACACAGTCTTTTGCCTCGCTGTCTAAGCTTCTGGAGGGCTACCGCGCCGGTGTGCACAGCGAATGACAATTGACTCCAAGCCAACCTGCCGTTTGTCGGCAGCGATAAGCTAAGGCTTCTGCAACAGCCTTTAGAGTGTCTGGTTATTGACTGAACTGCCTCTATGAGCGTATCCCATGGCATGGTATTGTTGCAGTAAACCACCGTGGCCCGTCGAGCAAGCACCGTCTCTTGTACAACCCAGATTCGATACCACCATGGATTGGAAATCCACGTCTTCGTAGCTCGAATGACTGCTGACCAACCCTCCTTGCGAAGCAGCCGCCCGTTCTCTACAGTGAAGAAGGGGATTTCGCCTACGTGCTTGTCCATGCCACAGATTCGTATGTAAACGAAGAAGCCGAGTACGTCCTCTGCCTCCTTTTGCTCTTCTCTTCCACCATCTCGGATCTTGCTCTGCTTGAAGTAGGCATCCACGGTTGTGACGTCTCTTTCATCTCCAGTCCAGTCGACGGTGGCCGGTCGTTTGAAGGGTGCTCGCGGGCTGCGTCCGTAGCCGAGCCAGATGAACGTTTCTTCCGCCAAACTGTATATTTCGCCCATAAGCTGTACTTGTTCAGAACGCTCGTTGAGGTCTGACTGGTTGATGCAGGCTGCATCTGCGTAGATGATCAAGGCCTCATCCGTTCTCCGCAATCGTTGCAGCCCATTGCGCAGATTCTGTGTTATCTCCAGCGTCTCGCCATCGATCCTGATGGGTAACGTTATCGTTGGGTCGCCCCAAACATACGAGATCGCGTAGAATTTTGGGTTGTCGTTCAGCGAGGCAGTCTCGAGATGGCATTCGATATCATCATCCCAGGCCCCCGGGTGAACATGGAGTAGACGTATTTCTTTCCGGGACGCGTCGAGCTGGGAATACATGCTTGGGCGCTGAACTTGCTAGCAGTTTGCGACGGCTCGCGTTGGGTGCATGGCTCAACATCGTTGCCGGGAGAGGCTGCTGAACTTCGCGGATTACGCGTCGCTTTCCTCTCATTTATTTCCCCCTATAATTGACGTCAACGGTGGCACGGACTGTTTGCTCCTTCCTGATGTTGTTGGCTGTGATGGCATCTGGATATCCGATAAGCTGGGAGCAGAGAAGCGAGCCAATCACCCGCGTGACCTCGTGGGGCTGTGCTGGACGTGTATAGGTCGTGAAATTGGGGGCCGAAACTCAATTCAATCGTTCGCGCCAACAGAAGCGACGCAATAGCAGAACAAGGTATATAATTTCATAGCCATCATAAGCATCATCGTTATATAGCCGCGTGGCCAACATCATCATGTGATCTTCTTTCATACATCTTTCATCTTTGGCTCAATCATCAGACAAAACAGTCGAAAACCAAAAGAGAACATCAAGGAAAAGGTCATCATCGTAATATATGAGAGCAATTTCGTGAGCGCGAAAATGAAGAAGCCAACCCAGGATCAAGGGAAAGGTGGTTGCTGATCCAAGAAGCAACAAGAGGAACAGGTTTTTCGCTAAAAACGCTTCAATGCCGTCGCTATGCAGCCCCGCTGGGGAGGAAGAGCAAGATCAGGGTAAGGAAAATGGGCGTGGGTATGGTGGTCGTTACATAGCCCAGCTCGTTTCGATGGGGTAGGAACAAGGCGTCCGGGCCCGATAAGATATCACCGCAGTACTGGATAAAGATAAGCTCGTAGCAAGGCCGTAAGGGATGCAGAGTCGTAGGAATCGTGGTATCGCTGAGCTCGAGCTCTTCAAGTCTTTTGGTTCGATGCGGTCGTCGTAAGGTTTTGGTTTCGTTGTTGCTTGGTGTGGATCCCGTCGAGGGAAGCGAAGTCTATCGATATCTTACACCCTGTATCCCGCCTCTTGGAGACATCCTGAGCATCTCTCGTAAGCACGGACATATCCGCGACCGCAGTAGCATGCCGAGGTAGTTGATGGCGCGACAGAAGCCTTGCTGGGTCGTCGTCCTCCTGCCGCGGCTGCCTGTGCAGCATCGAGACCACAGTCGGAGCTTCTTGGGCTGGTGCCGCCACTGGTGGTACTGGAGCTGTCGTAGTCGTTGGATGAGGAAGTATTGCGTCGACCCGCTCCTATCGGTGTTGGCAGTCCTTGTGCGCCCTGGCCGGGCCGTTGTCCTGGGTACATTCCATCGTTTACCGAGAAGTTGCGGCAGATCATGTAGGCTCGGGTGGCGGCGGCATTCTTGGCTAGCTCTTCGCTTTCGTATTCAACATCCGTGGAGTACTCTCGGTTGTTTACTCTGACTGTTGATCCGTAACCGTAGCGTGTTCGGTAGGTTTGGAAAAGTGGGTCAGGCCAGTGGCGCCTTTGGCAAAGACCTATATCCGAGGGTCAGCAACCAGTACACACACACATTGAATCTGCTATCGTGCTGCAAAGTCTTGGACATGGTCTTCCACCCCGTTGTGTGGATCCCCTACACTAGACAGGGCTATCACCCATGAGTCTTGCACCAATTGCCATGTCGTCAAGACCTCATTTGGCTCAACTAGATCCGGCTATGTGGTACCAACTGTCTAAAAAGAAAAGGAACAGCTCTAGCACTAACCTGTCAGGTACATAACGTAGAACATGTTGGAGGTGGTCGAAAAGGATTATTGACGTGTAATGGAGCGATTGGAACGACTGATGGCGCTTCGATGGTGAGCTGTCAGTCTGAGGGCAAGACTACTGCTGCGGAGTATTGCTGAACTGGCAAGCGTTCGTTGGTGGCGACGATAGTAGGCCGAGAAGGTATCCGTGGCAGTGGTTGTACGACAGTAAATGCTTTTAGGGTGTGGGTGACAGTTGCCAATAAAGCATTGACAGCTGTACAAAAGAGATGAAAAGCGTTGATGTATGAAGAGCAAGGTAGAGGGAGCGGCTTGCAGTCAGTCGGACGGGGATGGGGGAAGCATATGTGCCTACTGTGGGATGGAGGAATATATTGCAGCAGGCGAGTGTAGCATGTATCCAAGCGCGTCTCGCCCACCAGTAAAAACGGAGGGGCAATTGGGCTTGTGGAAATGGATAATCTGCGGGTCTTGTTGCGGCTCTGAATGAGGGAGACCCATAGTATGTGCTGGCGAGAAGGTAGCCAACGGTAGAGGTTCCAGAATTTTAGCTAGTAAGAGACTCAAACCTCAAAAGGTACAGCCTGACCGGTTCGCTCTTGCCACCGTGCTGCACGCAGTAGCGCAGTGAAAAAACGGCTGGCGATCGGACACAATTGCTGTAACCCGTTTTCCCAAGGCTGGACATGTCTCGATCGGCATTGTGCAGGTTTAGACGCCTAGGATGGGCGCATAAACAACGAGGTGGCAGACGTGCATCCTAACAGCACTCTTTGCTCGTATCTCCCGGATGCACTGGGCCCACTAATGCAATATGCAAAGTGAGGGGAGAACGCAAATACGTCAGACTCTGCACCCTTTGTCAAGTGTACCGATACCCTGAAATCTTGGCAACAGAATGCGTGATATCGGCGTATGGTTTGGGAGGCAGGGTCTGAAAGGAATCAGAGACCAGACCAGACGTGCAGCAAAAAAATGGGACTGCTAATCGGCTAGGGTACCAACCGCCAGAGTCGCGACTGGAGAGGAGTTGGACACGATTGTGTGACTGCAAGACAATGCAAAGCATAGTGGCTCGAAGCGAGAACGCGTCACAACAGGCATAGCATGGAGCTACCCGACAGCCCCAGGGGCGAGCGAGACGAGTTGATTGATGCGTTCGAGGGTTCGAGGAGATACCTGGGGTTGGTGTTACCAGAAAGCATCAAGCGTCACTGCCAACGCATACATGCAGAAAGCACGGTCCTCTGAATATCGCTACTGGGAAACGCGCCTGCAGCTCGAATAGGGAAAGGGTCAACGGCTGTTAGCTGTAAGCCGTGTGCATGCAGGCATAAATTGGCATTGCGGAGACTGTCTGATGGCGCTCAAGCACGTTCGCGAGACGTAGTGGAGTACGGTTTGACAGGCGATGATTGACGAGGAGAGGACAGCTGGAGGGGCCAGGCGTTCTCGCGCACGCGATCCCGGTCAATCGAGAGAGACAGAGATGAAGAGTTCACAGACCCTGGGATCCCCATGTTCAAGACTGGTGGTAGGGCATCAAGCAGTCCCCACTTTGCCGAAGTCAAGACATTGAAGATAGCAGGATGCCAAGCTCAGCACGAACGGGTCTGGAGCTTTGGGGGGAAATTTTCGAATCGACACAAAGGGATCATGCGTCGGGCGGCTGCAGAGCGTACTCGACAATTGACCTGCCGCGAAGTGGATAGCAGCAGTACAAAGGTTGAGGGTGCACAGAGCAAGTCGTCGTGGAGCGGAAGCAAAATTCGGACGATTCGATAGGCCGGCGCGGTTCACGACAGGCAGCGGTGCATGGCTAGGTCCCAGGTCCCAGTAAGGACCGCTTCTGTCTGGCGCCGATCCAAGATGGTGGTTGATACATGGAGCGGGACGATGGCGCTTGTGAATAGCGGCAACGAAGCGCAAGGAACAGCCACTGATATATTGGACAAAGAATAGCGTTTGAAGTCCAGACGAGCGCGTCCAAGGCCAGCAGAATCAGCGCGGAGATGAGTGAACGAGCTTCAGAACTATGTCGCACGCGCGGGAGATCTGTGGATGACGCGAGCGCGCCAGCACGGCCACCCGCCCCAAGCTGCAAAACAGGCGGTGAAGAAGCCAGCGCTGTCAACCATGCGCCCCTCTTTCTGCGCATCAATTCTTGACACTACGCATTAGCAAAGAAGGCTGTTCTTTGACCTACTCGACTGCGTGAGAGGGCGGCCATTTGGACCGCAGAGTTGTCGGCCCTGGAGGCGTCCTGTCGTGGACATGTCGTCTTCGAATCGGCCTGATTCCATCAATAGGCTACTGAAGACCCACATGTTCGAGCGCTTTTCCAACCAAGAGCACCCTCACCCTCCTGTTCAGCCTCGCGCGGTGAGAGGTGGTGCTGCAGCCGGGTGTGGTGCAGGGTAATCAATCTAGAGGGGCCGGGTTTCGCGTCCATTACCGATGCTCGATGAGGGACACAACGCACCGTCCCGACCCTCCGAATCTCGACATTGCAGATTGCAGCCCCTCAGGGTCCATTCACCCTTACACAGCTCGAGGATGCGGTAAAGGCTCTGGCCAGCTCTTTCCACGCTCCATGTGTGACGTCTAACAGCATATGACTGCCATCCTTCACCGGCATCGGATAGCGGTGTTTGTCGTCTACTGTCAGTAGCATCAGTTACCCCACGATTCAAACCGACTTTCCCTCTCTAGTGACACGTTTCAGACTATCGAGACAGGCATGGTTTGCGCATCGAGAATGTACGCCTCGCCGTCTCGTAGTAGACAGGCTACGTAATTGCTGTCAGCTCACAAGCAGACCACCCGTCGTACAGCCGCAGTACGCGGGGTGAACGGCCAGACTACGGCATCCGCAAAAAGCAAATGTAATTAGACCGTAGATGGAGTATGTACTACGTCTTGAACAATACGCTGTGCAAAGCGTAGGGGAACCGACGTTGACGTTGACGTTTCGAATGGCTCTCCGCCTACTCCGGAGTCCGACAGAGTACCTAGATATACCAACTTGACAGCCTCATACATAATATACACACATTCATACAACGAGCTGAACCATACAAACCACCACTACAGCTTCTCTCCAATCACCAGAACCGACAACCGTCAAGATGCCTAAGATCGTCCGCCTCACCATGTTCAAGATCCCCGACCAGGACATGGTCAAAGAAGCCATCCAGATGTACAACACTCTCGCCCAAGACGCGAAAAAGGTACGTCGAAGCCCTCTCTTGACTCGCCAACATTCCCTCCAAGTCCTCCCATTCCCCTTCCAGATCTCCATACATACCCGCTTTCTCAGCCGAGTTACGGCCAGCACATATCCATCGAACGTGCAGTCCATACCGCCCGCCCCCTGCACGACGGACCATCTCGTCACGTCGGGACCCCAGATTTATTCTAGTCGCCCTCGGGCTATTTCCATCTTACTCCCTCGATAAGAAAAGAGCGGATAATGGCGTCAACCCTCCTCTTCGCGCGCGCGGAGCAATGTCCCTGGCGGGTAATCGCTGGAAATATTGCCGCGGCTAGGAGAAATGGGGTGGGGGTGACGAGGCTGCAGCAAGCGGGCGACACCAGCGAGCGCGCGGGATCAACTCCGAGTCACGACGCACATATCGGCCGCCTTGGATCCATTGAAGCCTCACGATGGACAGACTGACGCTAGAGATATACCGACAGCCTCCGCACCGACTGACTTCCGAGGCTATCGTCGTCCGCCGTTTGTTGTTTGTTGCTGCTTATCGAGAGGATGCATGCTAACGTCATTGTGTTTTTGTGCAGGACGGCAAGACGTACATCCAGCTTGCACAAGCCAATGCCACCTATGACGACCCGCGCAGCCAGGGCTACACGATGCTGGCGCGTTGCATATTCGAGTCTAAGGAGGATATGGACTACTACGACAACCAGGATGAGGCACATGCTAAGATCAAGGCGCACTTTAAGCCGAAGGTCAACTCGCCGCCGCTCGTCCTCTACTCGGATATGGCATAGAGGGGCTGGCATGTGGGGTGTTGAGCGCTGTAGTGGAATACATGGAATCGAAAGAGTAACACATGGCAAACTTTGTTTTCTGTTGTGATGATGCCAGAAATGACGAAAGATAGCGCATATGCCGACGCAACCTTGGAAGTCCCCACGACAGCATCAGCTGAGTAGGGAAACGAAGAGTCCTACTCGGCCAGAAAAACGTTTCGACAAAGCATGGAACGTGATAACGAGGATTGATGGCATCAGACCTAGCTGCAGTCTCATTACTCGGCCCTTCTTTGTCTGGTCCAACATCTTTGTCTAAGACAACTCCGATGGTTTACGTGCAAACCGAACAGTACGAGCTTGAGTTCTTCTATCGTCTCGCCCGAAACTTCGGGTTAAGATAACTGCCTGACTTCCAGGCAAAGTCAATAGTCTGAAATCTTGATTTCAGATAGTCTTTGATGAAGATCATCTACTGCCACGCACAAGACATGTCAACCATGAGTGAAACATCTGCTGAAGCTGCTCACCAAGCACAGAAACAAAGCCATAACCACAAAGAGTATTTTATGCCGACTTACAATGACCAAAGCCAGTATACAATGTCACAATCAAATTGATTCCGCTTCTTTCACCAGAAGAAAGAGACAACATCTTTACTGTCCAACAAAAGATACCCGTGTATCGTGGTCATCTCCGGCTACTCATAAGAGTGGAATTGCACTCAACCACATCCCTATTTACCTAGATAGCAAATCTGAACGACCTCATGGGCACGCAATAGTCTTCGACATAAACTCAAACACTAAACTCACCAGCACGATAACATCAACAAAACCGGAAAACCTTTCCAATTCTTCCTTACCTCCTGAACAGGTGCCCGCTGAAATTTCAGCACAGGAACCATGTCACCAAAAAAGGGTCAAGCACCATCCTTACCGGGCCTACCAACGTATGACTCCTCCGCCTCCTCCTCCAGTAGCTCAGAGCCAGAACCAGAAGACTACAAACCAAAGGTCAAGCAGGAAGCAGCCGCAACCCAACAAGTAGCCGCAACCCAAGATGTAGAGCCAGTCCAAAAGGCAGAGCCAACCCAAGAAGCAGAAGCAGCGCCAGGAGTCGTGGGATACACCTGGCCACCGCCGGGCTCACCCACAGAGTCCGACACCGACGAACCCGAACCCGAACTTGATCCACTTTCAGATGATATAAATTGGGATGCCGACGAAGAACCACACGGAAACGATGGAAACGAGGGGGAAAACGAAGGAGAACCGCAGACCAGCTTCGTCGGGGCCCAGAACCCCATACTCGAAGAGCCCATAGAACGTATGTACAGAACCCCATCGTGGGGACACTCCGTATACTCATTCAACTCAGCAGCTTCTTCGCCACTAGATCCAAACGTCAACTCAGCGGCTTCATCGCCGCTAGGTCCAAAAAGTCCCACTCCACCCCCTCCTTCCCCAGGTCCACCTGCGAATAAGCCGAAGAGAAGAGGTATGCCAGTCGGTATTGCCCCGCGAGCAGGACACACAGATGCGGAAACGGGTATGGAGGATGACGCCCCAGATGCTGCTGTAGCCCGCGCGGTAGCTGCAGCAAAGAAACGAAAACGCGAGGAGGAAGAGAAGAATAAGCGCAAGGCTCCGCCAAGGAAGAAAGTACGCGTGGTGTCACCGGAGGATGACGACGAGTTATCGGATGCGCCGTCGAATCCCGAACCTCCTTCGCCAGTTGCGGCTGTAGTTGAGAAGGGGAAGAAGGGGAGGAAGACCAACAACAGTAAGAAGGAAAACGCAAAGGCGGGATCAAAGAAAGCCCCTCCTAAAAAACCGACAAAAAAAGCCAAGGAAGGCGGTAAGAGAAAGAAGGGTGAGAATATGCAGAAAGTGAAGTGTAGTGGAAGAACGACGAAAGGCGAGCCGTGTAAGAATGAGAAGAATGTGAAGGAGGGAGATGACTATAATTGCGGGAAGCACAAGTCTGATAAGTGAGGCAAGGTAGGTGAACGTAACGATAACAAGTGTGTAGTTGTACGCAATCTTCAAATGGAAAGCTTTGTTTTCAGGTTTTTGGTATTCATACCTGCAGTACAGTACATGCACACATGATCTCCATCTCCATCCCCATCTCCATCTTCATCCCCATTCTTCCCCGTTTCCTCTTGAGAAAAGGCAGCATGCCGAAGCACAATCTTGCTTGTATCCCATCGCTAAACCCAACCCATAGCACCCATTCATCCGTACCAAACCAGACGCTTTTCGTATCGTGAAGGCACTCCCCATGCTGAAGAGGGGAGATGTAGAGTGTTTGTAGAGACGCCTCTGTAAAAATGCACAGCTACTACCACGCAGTTCTATATGCCAGCCGGAGTGTATGCAGAAATATACAAGAAAGATACACGTTATTAAAAAAAAGTGTGTAGAAGATTTGCGTCGACGTGTCGTTCGACCGGGTATCTCGTGGGTGCGTTTACATGATAATCGAAGGAGCTAGAATGTGTTAGTCACTGAAATCTACGTCGTGATGTGAAGGGAATCTTACTGTCAACGTTCTGCTTGATGGACTTGTGCGGCAGAACCGAACCACCATTTACGTAAACCTCATCACCAATCGTAACGTCATCACCAAGCACAGTCACGTTCTCGAGACGCGCCCACTTGCCCACGGTGCTGTTCCAGCCGACAATCGACGACTTGACCCAAGCGTGGTCCTTGACGCGGCTGTTCTTGAGCAGCACACAGCGCTGGAGACGCACACCGTCGCCGATGACAACATTGGGGCCGATTGTCACGTTGGGACCGATGCGGCAGTTCTTTCCTATCTTGGCAGACTCGTCGATGAGCACGTTGCCGCCGTAGACGTAGGGTTCCGAAGCGGGGGTCAGCAGCTTGGAGTTCTTGCGCGCGAGCGAAGAGAGGTAGAGGCATGTTCCCGACAGGAAGTCCTTGGGCTGACCGACGTCCATCCAGAAGCCCTCGAGGTCGAAGGAGTGGAGCAGGCCGTCCTTGACAATCGCAGGGAAAGTCTCTTGCTCGATGGATGTAGGGCGCAGCTCGATGCGCTTGAGCACGCTGGTGTTCATGATGTAGATACCGGCGTTGATGCGGTTGCCGACGAACTCGACGGGCTTCTCGACGAATCGGTCGATCTTGGAGGCGTGGCCGGGCTTGTGGACTACGACACCGTATTTGGAGGGCTCTTCGACCTTGGTGACGACGATGGTGCCTTCGTCGCCGTGTTGCTTGTGGAACTCGGCGAGCTGCTTGAAGGGGTAGTCGCAGGTGACGTCGGCGTTGAGGACGAAGAAGGGCGAGTCGTCCTTGCCCAGGACGTTCTCGGCGAGCTTGAGGGGGCCGGCGGTGCCGAGGGGCTCCGTCTCGACGGAGAATGTGATGGTCACGTTGTATTGCTTCTCATACTGCGCAGCCGGTTATTCGTGTGCTCTGGTTTGCGGAGGGGTGGGTATACTCACTGTCTTGAGCGCCTCGGCCATGATCTCCGGGCGGTAGTTGACGGCGAGGACAACATCTGTGACGCCAGCAGCAGCGAGGGCCTCGATCTGATGCTGGATCATGGGCTTGTTCGCGAACTCGACGAGCGGCTTGGGGTAGGTGAGGGTCTGCAATTGGCATTAGCATGGCCGTTGCTTTTGGCATCGCGGGGCTCTCGAGCGAGCGCTGCGCGGGGAGGAGGGCTTACGAGAGGCCTCAGACGGGTACCGAACCCTCCGACGAGAATGATGGCTGCAGTGGCTGTTAGCTACACACAACAGAGTCGCAATTGGCCAAGCGTACCTTTCATATTGGTGGTGTTGTAGTTGTGTAAAGGCGTAGGTACTAGGAACTTTGTCGCAGGCAGGAACGGGAGAAAACAGTCAAGTCTTCAACACAGCACAGGCAGACAGTAATTGCCGGGTATAGAAGAAGAACAGAGTCGCACGGTCGAGTGAAAGCGCAGGGCAAAGAACAAGGGAGCTTGTTGGTGATGAGGCCAGCTGTAGGTTATATGCGTCGAAGCACCCGCGTCCACAATTAGCGGAGCTAATGCTTTCCCTGGAAATGTTCTAGCTCACACCGGCGCCGGTTCCCCTTTCTTTCACCCACCACATGCGCAACCCCCGAGTCCCGCTACGCCTCGTTAAACCAACTCCCTAACCGCTATCGTGATCGTGGCCTGGCCAGATGGGCCCTGTTCCTGATCGCTCGCCCTATCCGCTTCTAATTCGGGGAGTAGCTTCGTGTTGTGACTGCTAATAGGCTGAGTTCGTATCCCATCACGAGGGAACAATCAGCTCGTCTCATTCCTGCTCCTTGGGTACGTGACGCTGGTCACCGCTCTGTTCTCCCTTTTCCAGAGCAAATTGCACCACGTGCCCGTGAAGCTGTGAATTGGGCGGCGTGGTCATCTCAGAATCTTCTGATCACGCCTCGGTCCCCACGTCGGGACCCTGAAAGCTATCCGCGCCCCTGGTACCGCCGACATGTGGCTAGCTGTGGCTGACCGAGAACACTACCAAGCCTTTGACAAACGCCAATCTATCTGTCACGTTGCTCTTGGTGCACCTGATCAATCATCAATGCACGACGTTTTGAATTCCTGCAGATCCATGGTACCTCTATCCGGCCCCTCACAGCCACACTCACGATGTTCGCTCCGCTTCAATCAGCGTTCATGCGACGCGCGTCGTATGTTGGTGGCGAGATTGCCACAATCATGCGTCCAATGCGCTTACGCAGTCTTGAATACGGGCAGATAAAATAGAACTGCGCTTCTGCCGTTATTTTGATCTAGTCTCCACGATGTTCTTCGGTCGCCAGCGGGACTCCCCTCGGTCATCGCGAACCATGGACATGGCATGCCGGAACCAGACCATTTCTTCTCCGCATGCATTGGCTGAACGCTGGTTCTGAATCATGTAATATACAAACTCCCCGTACAAACGCCCAGAACACGTACTATACACAACTTCGTAACCAATCTCACATCCTACAGACTCGTGTATTATCTCAACTCCTCTTCCGAAAGCTCATGGACCTCAACGCATCCCCCACACTACTCCCCCGCTTGAACATGCCCGGTCTCCTCCCGGGCCCATCCGTAGGACTCTGCTCGGGCGACAAACGCTGCCCTTGATTCCGCGGGCTCCCAGTCTTCGTCGGCGTCTTGACCAGCCCCTCACCAAACACAAACTCCTTGGTGAAAATCCAATTCCCACGTTCATACCGCCATAGATCCAAGCCCACGGCACGACCCTCCTGGTTCCTCTCGCTCAACTCCTGGCGTATCGTCGCAAACGCGCTATCCACTTTCGTCTCCTCATCGACTTTATTCATGACGGTCCAGTGAGGGCGGAAGCCACCTGCGTCTTGCTCGCTGAGGAATTCAGACCATTGGGATTGTAGATCGGCATGGACGTTCTTCATCTTTGTGTAACCTGAGTCGACGTTGATGCCAACGCCTTTGCGCATACGGAAGGGCTTGCCGGTTGAGACGTCGAAGGGTTGGATGCTCCCCGATACCTGTGCGAGCCCTTGTTCTAGCGCTTCCATGTGCGAATGTGGGAGTGCGTGGAAGAGCGTCAAATGCGCGCCTGTGCGGTTGAGGTGCTTAGGGAAATACTGGTTTCGCATGTCGTCCATGGGTTTGGCTAGAGAATCTGTGAGTTTGAGCGTGAGGACGTAGACCTGTTCGTCTTGAGAAGCGGTGTTCGGTCTATGTTCTTGTCGGGGATAATGTCCTGATGGTCGACTTTCTTCCACGACGTATGGCTCATTGTTGGCTTGCTTGGGACTGGTCTTGCCTTCCTTCTTGGTTGACCAGCCGCGGAAACTCGTTTTGGCACGGATTCCCGCGCCGGGGCGTTGTGGTTTCTTGGCCTGCTCTTTTTGCTGTGCTTGCGTTGCTTCAAAGGATGCGCGTAGATCTGGGTCTGAACAGGCTCGGGCTTGGATTTGAGGCTGCCGAACCCCGCCGTTGGGTGTGCTGACGGCGGCTGCGTAGGTAACTGCCATTGTGCTGAATCGTGGTGATGCTGCTAATGTGATCCCGTTAGACGGTGATGATGACAAAGATTGACCCAGCTGCCTGAGGACAGCAATCCTCATTGAAATTGGGAACGTGGCTGGTGATGTGAGCACTTTCACGAGCTGCCCCTTGAAATGTTGTACGGAACTTCGGAAGATCACATACGTCACTCGACGGCCACTAGCGATGCGCCCGCGCTATGTGGAGATGCCTCGAGCTATCGCGTTTAGGTTTATAGGACGGGAGTACCCCAAACCTCGTGATTTGAGGTGGAGATGCATTGAGTCGTAGGCTTCGAAGTATTGAACCGCAGTATAATTAAGTATATGTAGCTGGCCAGAATGTTCAACCGCCGCAATGTATGCTTGCTCGTATTTTAAGACCCACAGTTCTCGCTTCTACAGCGACCAGCTGCCTCCAGTCTATTTGGAACTGTCCACGGGTATCAAAAACTCCAGAACTCCACGGCCTAAAACATGGTATCTGAGCAATATAGGTCCCTAGATGAGCGTCTGCTGGTGGTGCGCCATCTTCCAATCGCCTGACACGCCCTCTGAAGCACCCTTCAGCACCCATGCGCTCGAGCAGATGGCCCTGAACGTCTCGCTGTCCCTTGTCGCCTCTACGCGGTAGTAGATCAGCGCGCTGTCCTTGCCCAGTATAACGACTTCATCGTGGCTGAGTTTGTATGACTTCCAGGGCTCGAAGTCGGGGCCTTGAAGCATGTTGTGGACTGTTGGAGACGATACGGAGGTCAGGATGAGGTCGCTCGGGAAGATCATGACGGGATTGCTGGAGAGAAGCGGGACGAGTTCGGCGCCGGAACTGCATAGCGCTGCCCAGGCTTTGTGTTCGAGCGAGCATATCGCAGCGGTCAAGGACGGGTTCGTGAGCGTTGGCATCGTCATAGTGATTTCGAATGTCGCGATGACTGAGATTGGTATCGGGTAAAGTGTTGGCGGTTCCT